TTCTTTTCAATAATTTAACTGATGCATATAAATTTCATACAGATCAGATAACTTTCGTCATTCGAGCGTTCATACGGTTCAACTAAGTGAAACAATGAGATTACTCCAGAAGAAATTAACAGAAATTATTGAAATTAAACAGGCTTCTTCATCTCACTGATGTAAACAACATATATCAATTTCAAAATAATCAGATGATAAATGTAATCTGTACAGTTTTCACAAGAAATTGTGGACAACGGATGTACAGACATACGGATGGAGGCAACAGCAATGACTGTTCTTGTTCACTACACATACTCATGGTATTAAAAGTCTATGAATTCATTGCACAATATTTTTGCTCCAGTATATACAATAATGAACCATGTAAAGTGTTTATTCTGCTGATTTTCCTGGCTCACTAGGCTGGAGGTCATGTTTTCAATCCCTGCATGGGCCAAGAAAGTTTATCAGGATTTTCCGATGTGGTTTCCCCCTTGTCAGTGGTGCAGGACAGCTGTCTAGTTATTTGTCTGGAGGTCGGGTGTTCGATCCCTGCAATGGTCGAGAAAGTTCATCCAGATTTTCCAGCGTGGTTCCCCGTTGTCAATGATGCGGGACAGAGGGCCTGACAAGGACAGCTGTCTAGTCATTCGGATGGGATGGAAAACTGAGGTCCTGTGTACACACTGGCATGCAAGTAAAATATCCTTTGACAGTTGGAATTCGATATGAGTAGGTTGTAATGCTGCTGTCCGGGCAAAATTTCACTCATAGTACATTGTATGCTGTATGCCCGTCTTTATTAGCCCAGTTTGGAGCAGAACAGTAGGACGTTAAACCCCATTTCATTTTACAAAAAAACCCGAGGTCTTGTGTATACATTGGCGTACACGTAAAAAAGATCCCATGGTAGTTGAAATTCGATATAAGAGTAGGCCAATAGTGCCACTGCCCTGGCAAAATTTTCCTCACAGAACACTCTATGGTGTATGCCCAACGTCATTAGCCCGGTAGGAGCAGAACAGTAGGATGTTAAACCCCATTTTATTTCATTTCTCATTTATTTCTGTATTATTCAGATTGGACACACAATAAATTATTCTCTAAACATCATGAAACAAGGATCAAATGACCATGACTTGTTCATTTTGAGCACAATTTTGCAAGAACAAGGGGAGCATATCTACAATCACCATCATATATAGGAGGATCAAGCACAAACCAATATTAAAATTCTCTTATAAAGTATATATACCTGACTATAATAAAATACAAGATACTACACAAACCATAAACTACAAAGTTAGAAATAAAATCATAACTAAAAGAAAGGGCATCCAAATAAACTTCACCTGCACTGTGTGTGACATGTTCTCAGCTTGTTAATGACTATCACCTACTGACAACTATAACCACTACTAACAAGTTCAAATAGGTTACTATATATAGATAGAAACAGCTGATAATGAGACAGATCATTTACATCATATTATCCATTATAATATCTACTGTATACTTATCATCTATAATTCCTATGTAACAAAAAACAGTATTATACTCTTTAGGTATGACAGGTGTTCCTGTTTTTCTATACATGTATATGCATGAGAAATGACATATGAAATGACACATTTGACTTAATGTTCAAACTTCAAGGGTCAAGTACCCAGTCCAAGAATTAGAACACAGTTCACAATGTCAATCTCTACTTGTAAGTGACAGCTACTTTTCAGTGTTTTACATAACTACATGTAAGCAATTTATTATTTCTCATTTCACACTAACAAATTTTTGTTTACTTTTGTAGTTTTAAAGTTTAAAATTAACTTAATATCTCTAAAATAATGTTTTATGATCTTATTACGGCTTCTGATGGTCATTGGCATATTTCAGACAATATCTAACTTTTCAGGGCTTAATCCATGGTAAAATGTACTTGAACAGTTTAATATTTAATTATTAAAACAAAATCTAAACATAAACAGAAGATAATCCCCTGGCTTGGATTCAGTTGGATTAAAAAGAGGCCCATCAAAAGATTTGAAAAGATTACAGGTGGCACTGGATTGTTTTGAGCATATCCTGTTAATATCATCTGCAGAGGTTGCAGAATGTGACAAATTTTCAACCCATCGGCATCCTAACTTTGTAAATACTAAACAGTACTGAAGCATTTTGGCTTGATATTCATTTCAGACATGCATCTTTCACGATATTGTGGTTGGATAGGGATTAAAAATCTCTCAAATGACAAGACTTTTTTTAATTTAACTCATTTCTACAAATTTAAAAGATGTATGTGATGTTGTATTCATATGGTGGACTTAAAGGTCATTGGTGAATATCAAATGTTGCAAATTACATTTATAGTAAACACACATTTAAATTTCAATAGGGTTTCCCTTTATACCCCTATAACCAGTACAACCAATTTTTTTCTGTATTGTGTTCACAGTCTTTAAGGTAGCTAAGTCTCTAACTCAATATCATCAAAAATCTTTGACATTGAAAACACAAATTATTTGTCAATTCAAATCAACATTGGTCTTGTGATCTTACGGGGAAAAGATGGGCTTCTGATATCCAATATTCAAGACAAAATAAACATTTTACCATTGGTACACGAATCGTGTACCATAATGCGTTTCAGTGCCATTTGGAACACAGGACTCAAAGAACAGGGCTAGACATATTCCACAAGTCATGTCAAATGGTGACGCTATATTCTTATCTGGAGAGCATGCGCAATAAATACCATCGGTGTGACTGGAAAAAACAGACGCTAAAGGAACCGAACACTTGACTCGACTCTCAAATATGTAACCATGGAGAAACACTATTGACAATCATGAACAGCACTGGATAATCAATTGTAAATGTTTTATTCCGCAATGATGGCAAATTAATAATTTCCCCTTGTTCATATTCCTGTGGTCAAGGGAGGTAACTCTATTAAGCGTTTCTTGAAATAAGGATATGAACACTTGACTCGACTCTCAAATATGAAATGAATGAAATGAAATGGGGTTTAACGTCCTACTGTTCTGCTCCTAACCTGGGCTAATGAAGACGGGCATACGCCATACAGTGTGCTATGAGGGAAATTTTGCCCGGGCAGCGGCACTATCGCCTACTCTTATATCGAATTCCAACTGCCAAGCGATCTTTTACGTGCATTCTAATGTATACACTGGACTTCGGTTTTTCGTCTCATCCGAAGGACTAGACAGCTGTCCTTGTCAGGCCCTCTGTCCTGCATCACTGACAAGGGGAAACCATGCCGGAAAATCTGGATGAACTTTCTCGGCCAATGCAGGGATCGAACACCCGACCTCCAGGCTAGCGAGCCAGCGCCTTACCTCTCAAATATGTAACCATGGGGAAACACTATTGACAATCACGAACAGCACTGGATAATCAATTGTTAATGTTTTATTCCGCATTGATGGCGACAATTTTGCTGTCAGTCGGTCTTTTTTTATGGTCAAAATGTCTTATCTTTCCTGAGAACCATGACTGTGAGATAGATGACTGAAAGTATTCTCCGTGGGGAAATTGAGGGTGCAAATTTTGATTTAAATCACCAGCAAAATCCATGCTTTAACAATGAGTACATTTTCCCAGGAGTTACATCTAGATGAAGTCACAGAATTATTTGGCTGTTAATTCAAAATCTTATTTTTTGTTTTTTTTATTAAAAGTTAAATAAATATTAAATTTATAATAATTTTGTATGTTTCTTCAAGTAAGAATTTAACAAAATAAAAACAAAAAACACCCCTCCCCCACCCTCCCCCCGCATCAATTGTTTTTAAAAGGTTAATAATTCAACAATTGCACCAAGTTTTAAATTGTTTTATTCATGACCTTTGTCATGTTCATTAGATTTCATAAGTCCAATAGTAAATGGGAAGATTTCTCTGAAATTTGTGATCAGGACATTTTGAATTTCAATAAGGTTCTATCTTATAACCACAAGAACAATTACTGCATAACTGAGGATGACAAAGGGAAATAACTCCAGTTAGCCAAAGAACAGTGATTGATCACAGCTTTCCTTGCCCCTGTTACCCATACATTGCTGTCTGGGAATTTTCAACCAAATTTCCACTTAGGATGTAAGTTTAGAGGAGCTGATTCCAAATTTATAAAATTTTGTATCACTTTTTTTCCATCATTATCAATCGTATTGAAAATAAATTGATCTTCTTGAAAATCTTATCTGAAGGTGGTTTTAATATAATATTCACAGGTTAATGTTATATTTTAGTGACAAGGAGCTGAAGAAGAATGACAGTTCAAAGACCAAAGGTATACTATAAATGAATATAGAACAAGCTATGGTCATCAATATTTGATGAGATATATTCTGGTGTAACAGTTTGACTCTGTATACAGTTTGCATGTACACTGAAAAGGCATTTGAGAACTGATTTTTCATTATCTGCTTGAGAGATTTCAATAACACAATTATTGTTTATAATTAGTTTAAATCACAAGATTCTACAATGTAACGACATATATAAAATTTAAAAAGATCAGTAGAAAAAATCTTTAGATAGTTCACAAGAAATTGGTGAAAATGAATTGGCCTTTTCATCTCATGAACATTAGTACTGTGTATTAGTTAAAAGCATCAAGAAGAACATCAACAAGATTTTTCAAAGGGATCAATGACAATAGTATACCGATAACAGTAATTATTGGACATTGCTAAAAATCAAGAACTTTTTAAATATTGATGGGCCATACAAAATGGACTTCCATTGCTTTATTTAAGGAAGTATGGCTTGATCCTTTGTTTTTTTTAATCTGGTGAAAAGGGTATGACTTTGTTTTAAAAGATGCATTGGGGGTTAAGTAACAGTAAACAAGGGTATTGTCTTTGGCCAAAGTTGTAGCAGTCTGCTAGAATTGGAACACACATTTCATGAAAGAGATGTATTTCCTGCCCGCTAATTCCGTTAACTGTTATGATACTAACCGTTAGTGAAAAATATAAAACTCAAACTTACATTTATCATTGCATTTGAAGTTATACGGAAGAGTGTTGCTCGCTCATTGACAGCCTTGACCTTGCTATGAGATTCAGAGTGTGAATCTAACTGTTCAAGTTCTGATAATGTTTTTTGTAAAGCAGCTCCGTGTTTAGCGATTAGATCGTTACACGTGTTGAGATCTTCTAGTTTGCTGTTCAGTGATCGTAGTGTAAATTGTAGTTCATTTTTATCAGGTTGTGGCTCCTCTTCATCACTTTCTGTAAAATAGAGAAAAAAAAATCACATTATAGCAAGTGACAGAGAAATGGGTTTAATACACTCAATGACTCAACACAAAGTGGGTAATTTGGGAAATTTTCGTACAGGGGAATTTAGCAGTGGTGGAACCTGTAGAAAAGCGATGAGTTCAGACTGGCAACCCAACTCCTAGTCTCATACAGCGTGGGATTGAAACCATTACACTTGCAATGATGACATACGTTGTAGTTTAAATGTATTGTTTAAAGCACATGCATTATCTGATTCCAAGTACTATGCATTTTTCTCCTCTTTCTTTTCTTTTTGCAACCAAAGACATTTTCAAACATAGCATTGCTAATCACGTAACAAAAATCTAGTAGCTTTGCAAAAGAATGCAGCCTGGACATTAACACCTTCAAATACAAGAATAATTTTTTCTCCCTTAATTGACCGCTTGCATTCATGAACCAGTAGTTTTGTTTATAAATATGGTTCAGATACAAAGCTTAACGTTGCCACACTTACAGGGTTTGAATACAAAGCAAATAAGAACTAAATAGAAGTTATAACATGGGTTAGCATGGCAACTTTAATCCATGTGTGTTGAGAAGACTGGATACGTTGCTCATTGAAAAGCAAAACTCTGACAGTGATCATATATAAGACTAATATGGACAATCTTAAAAACAACAAAAGAATATTAAGTAGGAAGTTCTAACAGTTGTCTGAGGTAGTCGGTTTATCCCGGCACAAAATGATTGGTAGTCAAGAAGCTGATCACTGACAGGCTCAGACAACTTGCCGTCTAGTAATTCATTGGAAACCTATCACAGTGGTTTTAGACGGTTGGTTGGGACCACAATAAAATATTCTAGGAATCTTCCACACAGAATTTAGCAATTTTATTTCCTGAAGTATACATTGGATTACACCTTTAAACAGGCATTATGCAAGAGCTAATTCTGCCTATTGCAGGTCTTTCTTTAGGCCTTAAATGTTATATAAACTATTAATTAGACAAAACAAGACCATAATAAACTCTCGATGCCATCTGATTTTCAACAGATTTGAATCTGATCCACGGTTCAACGGCAGTTGATGATTAAGGATAAAAATGGATAATCAAGACTTTGTTTATTATCGTAACAATGGTAACAATGACAATGGAGGCTACAGTGTTTTTGAAATGAGAATTTTTCGGATCAGAGTGAATTAATTTGACTGAAATTTTCAGCATATTCCCTTTACATTATCTGTTGTTTAACTATTATACAGAGAACTGTCAGCTCTTTATCTAATCTTCCATAATGCTGCTTTAAATAACATTGAGCATCAACAGAAACACAATCAAGTAGAATGATATAAAACTCCATAAATATCACTTTGAAATTGTATTTTCATAGTTACATTATCATCATTGATGAGGGACAAGTGTATTCAGATATTGACCCAATCGCATGACTAAAAGACATTTATCATTCATCAGTCATGCATTGCTAAGCAACTCAGTTCTAAAACTAGGCAAATACACCATTGTAATGAACATCAAATTTCACAGTTTTCAAATAAGATTTGTAACTTGGTAACACACAGGCATTTCAAATCATTATAATCATAATAACAGTGTATTCAACTATTAGTTAAAGTAGAAGATTTGCCATTGCCATGTATATAAAACTGTATTGAAGTAAATTTCTAATTATTAAAACTTTCATTAAAAATGTAAAAATAAATTCATGATCAGAAACTCTCAATCTGATTAAAACACACATCCTATTTCATTTCGTTTTTTTTATAGTTTAAAATTTTGTTTTACTAGTCTTTACTACACTAGGATCTGGAAGAGTTTTTATCATTGACGTGTTCTGGATGGTGTTAGGGATTAGCCAATGAAATGGTCTGTCACGACGAGCTTTAGGCGTAATCTATTAGAAACATCAATGCTGATTGGTTAATCAAATGTCTGACGTCATAGGGTCAAAAGCTGCTTGTATGACCTCTGACGCGACCTATTGCTACAAACTGTCAGATCTTCATGTAGTTTAGGCAATCGAAAGTATAAAAAAAACGAAACGATATATATAGAGGATATTTGTCGTTTTAGAGTGAATAACATATTTTATTTCATCGAGAAGCAAGAAAACTTATATTTTCACGAATGTGTAGCACGAGTGAAAATATAAACGTTTTCTTGCTTAGAGATGAAAAAAGTATGTAATTCACGACAAATGTTCTATTTATTTTATGATTTTACAATCATTTTAGGTAACAACAACTAGCCAGTGGAATAACACTTTTATTTCACTGATAAAACGCGGTATTCCACTACTGATCATAAAATAAAGATCTGTATTTTAATCAGATTGAAAAACTCTGAATTTCTGGTTTGTTGGAATGTTAATGCAGAAATAATTTACTCCATATGAGCAAAAACTGTAAATTTCCTGTACATTTCTTTTGTATGGCCATATAAACTATTTCTGCAAATTCAAAAATAAATCTGTCAAGAACTGCAATCTGTAGTGTTCATGACAAAAAATTAAAGGTCAGATGGACAGACAACAATAACCATATAATATATTGTGGGTGCATAAAACCCACCAAGACATTCAACAGATCAGGATGCAATACAATCCATTAACCCTAAATTGCATCAATACGTCACACTATACTATTATGACAAATCCTCTTATTTCTACTCTTCAGCCTATTTAAATAAAACGTCACATAAAGTTATACTACTGGGTAACAATTTTTTTTTTTATCCTATTCTCGATATTGGACATTATTTGAATATATTATTTTGTAGTGCTTTAACTACAACAGATTATTTTTTGATGTATTGAACCAGATGAAATTAAAATTGACAGCAGCTGTTCAATTGTAATTATTGATTTATTCATTTTACACATGATGGGACATTACTAGCCAATAAGCTTACCAGATAAATCAACACATGTATTATGTATGAAACTATCTTAATTATACAACATAACAGAACCTAAGCAACTAACTTTACTCTATAATAAGAATAATCTAAACCTTAATCTGAAAACACCTATACAGATACTCTATAGTAAAATCTGGGCAAATATAAGAATATATGCCAACAAACAACAGCAGTGTCTAGGACTAGGCAGCAGCAGCAGGAGCAAAAGCTTGTCCTTAAATAGCTCTTTCTCTCCAATAAATATGGACTTATTTTGTAAAATGATCTAGTTTGTACAGATGTCAAATACTTTTAAATAAACTGACTTGTCGAGTAATGAGGTACACCCTGGTACCTAATGTGGCTACTCTTTTTGCGCAAGCGTTTAAATTCAAATGCTCACATACATGTAATATAATCAAGTATACAGGGTGCCTAATTATTGTCTTTGTGTATAACATAATAAAAGTCTTTTTTTCTAACCTTACTACCTGTATTGTTTCCATTATCATATATCCAGTTACATTACAATACAAAGTGATTGCAATTGTGTCAAGTACCAGTAATCATCAATAGATCAGTTTATTTAATTTTTTTTTAATTTTTTGCCTATAAAGTGAGTGAGAGAGAAATGGGGTTTAAAATCCACTTGACACAAACTTGGTCAATTCGGGACTAACATATGGTTTAATTTTTTTCAATAATTCGCTTTCGCGTAGGGGTCTTTAGCAGTGGGAGGAAACCGGAGGACCCGGAGAAAACCCTCGAGGTTGGACAGGGGACCCTACTCCTTGTCACGTACAACCAGGGATTCAAAACCATGCCAGTTGACTCAATGACAGGCTTTATGATACAGCGGGCACGTGCTAACCATTCGGCCATCCAACCCCCCTTTTTGCATATTAAAAATAAGAACATAAACTATACAGAGGTGACCTCTAAATATGTTATTATAAATTATTTTTATATAATATTACAACCAGACTATTTCATTGCAACCTATTCAGCCATATTCTGGATAATTAGATACAGTGCTTTACAGTCTAGTTCATTAGGAATATGTTTACATAATTAAATTATTAAACAGTTAATGGTACATTCTGATCGATTGCCATGGTGGAATATGCATGATGAATATCTTTGTTAGTTAACATCCCAAGTTGTGGTCTGAATAAATACTGGATTCATTTTATCACACACATTACAGAACATATCCTTATCTGTATAAACATTTAAAAAGATATTTATCACTTTTAAAGGAAGCAAGTCTGTATCTCAATATCATCCACTGTCTTCGACATAAAAACAAAACTTTTTGGTCAATTTAAATCCACATTGATGTTGTTATCTAACCGTGAAACGATGGGCTTCAGATATCCAATTTTTAAGACAAAGTAAAAATTTTAAAACTGGCACACAAATTGCGTCCCAGAATGCTTTCGAGTATCATTTGTAATGAAGTGACTCAATGAACGAGGCTAAACATATCCCACAGGAGAATACTACCGGTGTAGACTGGAAAACTCCACAATACCCTGGGTTAATTCATAGGGTTTCCACGAATTCAAATTATCTGCCCTGGACTTGATTGTAGCTAAAGTCTACGAACCAATCAAAAACCAGTTTACAAACCAGGCGTTCCTTTTTATAAGGGTATTTAAACCTATTCATGTCCATTTACTGAATGGTTTATGTAAATAATGTATATATTTCTAATTCATTTACTGGTATATTTAATTGTATTATCAAAATCTGTGGTATGTTTCGCTGATTTCAAATATGTATAACATCTATATGTGTGACTTTTGTTATTATTATTATTACTACTTGTTCTTTGAAATGTTTCATTCTGTTATGTTTATTATTGAACTTATACTTGGCAATTTGATTCTAAATAAAACTCTTGAACCTACATATATATAAACACTTGTCCAGTCTTCATTAATATATTATATAATAATTGTTGTTTTTTTTTGGTTTTTTTATAAACAAAATTTTTATTCAGGATGTTTGAATGGGATTTGAGAACAGGATTAGCCTATGTAAAACCCCTCTCCCTAGATAATATACATACATAGTATCAAAACAAAGGAACAAAATGGGTGTTGTTAATAAATATGCATTTAGTATAATTTGGACTTCTCTCATTTAGGCTATCTTCTGTCTAATTCCTAAATTTGTCTCTTGAAGGGGAGCCTTTGTGTATGGCTTACTTTACCCAAAGAGAGTTACTTCCCTTTGCTAACTTCCTTTACAATTACCGATTTATGGGATCGATCTATAAAAATAGCACAATCATCAAGGCGAATAACTTAAAAGCGTATACCCCCCCACCCACCCATATATTAACCCAGGGGTTAGTGGAGTAGAACGGAATGAGACCACTGGGGATACCGAGGATAATTACATTATATGCGTTGCGACCAATTTATGTCCATTTAGCTCCTTTAGATAAATAAGGGTATAACAAAGTGAAACAAGGGCTATAACTCTAGAAGTAATTAATGGATATTGCTGAAATTCAATAGTTTTCATTGTTTTATTATTATGTGAATTTCATACAGGTCAGATGATAAATTTTGGCAATAGAGCGTTCACATGGTTCAACAAAGTGAAACAAGGGCAACAATTCTAGAATATATTAACAGGAATTGCTGAAATTCAATTGGATTCTTTAATTTACTAATGGATATACATTTCATACAGATCGAACGATGAATCTTTTCAATAGTGCATTCACAAGATTGAACAAAGTGAAACAAGGATCATAACTCTAGAAGTTATTAACGGAAATTTCTGAAATTCAATAGGATTATTTGTCTAACTAATGTAAATAACAATAATAACATGTATAAATTTCAAAAATATCAGATAATAAACATAGTCAGACAAATGGACGAAGACGACAACATATTCGTCAAATTTAAGACCACCGCTATTACTTGGTTTTAAATAATTTACGATCCATACTTTATAAAGTGACCAAGAAAAACAGAGTGAAAGTAAATAAAAGAATAAAATATATCTGACTAATTAAGTCATTTTGATCATAAGACAATCATGTTTTACACTGTAAAACTGTGTTTGGAACTGTCTCTGACACTTTGAAATGACATGTGCTGTAGGCTTATGCATCAGAATCCATTCAAATATACTGAAGTGTATATATACCAAATAGAATAACTCTTAACTTATCAGAAATCACATAATCAGTCATATTAATTATGATTTGCAGTAAAAAATAAGTGTCCAAAGACAAAACCAAAGTAGTAAAAACATATATTTCATTTAAATTTATATAAAGAAATCAGCAATAAAACAATTTTAAATAAATCTGTGCTTTGTAATCAACTCTGACTTTATTGGAAGTTTTGCAATATTGCAATACTGCGAATCAATCGCTGCCAAAATCTGCTTAGTGTGTTCGGTGTCATTTGATAGAATTTCTGTTCACCCGAAGCAAACATGTTTGATATATTCGCCTTGTGTGAGGGGGGTTGGATGGCTGAATGCTTAGCACATGCGTGCTGTATCATAAAGTCTGTCATTGAGTCGACTGGCGTGGTTTCGATTCCCCGGTTGTACGTGACAAGGAGTAGGGTTGCCTGTCCAACCTCGTGGGTTTTCTCCGGTTTCCTCCCACTGCTAAAGACCCCTACGCGCAAACGAATTATTGAAATAAAATTGCACTATATGTTAGTCTTGAAATGACCTAGTTTGTGTCGAGTGGACGTTAAACCCCATTTCTCTTCCTCTGGCCTTGTGTGTCTGGTTCACTAAAGCATTCGCATGATTTTTAAAATTAATTAGCCAATCACCAGTGATGCTGAAAAGTCACATGATTGGTTGAAGACATGATCACTGCCATCGACTGGTGAATAAGGCAGACAATTCACCTAGTGTGTCAACTCATTTGGGTGCAATTCGGCACTGTCCACCACTTAATAGTTTTAAAAAAGAATGACAAATACAATTCAAAACTCATATTACCAGTGAAAACTCTTGAGAATCCCAAGCGGAGTCAAATCAGTGAAAGATTGTCAAATCAAAAACTTTTTTTTTCTTCAAATAGTTTCGTAAAATATTAACTGTGACCTTTTCAACAAATTCCATATTAATTGAATCCCAATTTAGCTTCCATTTTATTGAACATCTTAATAGAACAAGTCTTATGAGATATATTTAAAAGAAACATCAAACTACCAGTATGTGTAATTTATTATCATTATACAAAATCTTTGTAAACTGACCATTACAATTACTTGGTTATAAAACTCATCATTGTCACATCCCTTTCTACTTACCAACTTCCTGAATACGAATAGCTTCTGATTTGGCAAGTTCTAATGCTGTCAACCATTTCTGTCGTTCTACCTCAGATGTGGCTTTTAAATAGAAACTCTGTGCTCCTCCATTTGAAATAACGAAAGTACATGAATCTTCTGCATGTATAAATGCATTAGCAAGGTTTATCGTGCCCCTACATGTGTGTGCCATTTCTGCTTGATTCCTGTAACAACAAAAGATTATTTTTAGGAAACAGTGAATTTTTATAATGATCTTTCAAGTTAATTTTGATAAAATATTTTTTACAATAAGCATTCTACAAAAATCAAAATTCTATTAAAGGTGCATTTGAATCCTCTTTTCTCTCTGTGTTGTACTACATTCTACAAAATTTTAATGAAATCATGCTTAGTGAGGACATGTGCATTGTGATATATACATGAAGACTTTTGTGAAGTTTAACGTCCTACATTTCTGCACCAGCCAGGCAATTGAAGACGGTGGCCTTACGTCCTACTTTTATTCCGAATTTCAACTGTTTTTTTTATCTACACAAGACACTGTCCCTTGTCAGGCCCTCTATCCTGCACCACATGTGCATTGTGATATATACATGAAGACTTTTGTGAAGTTTAACGTCCTACATTTCTGCACCAGCCAGGCAATTGAAGACGGTGGCCTTACGTCCTACTTTTATTCCGAATTTCAACTGTTTTTTTTATCTACACAAGACACTGTCCCTTGTCAGGCCCTCTATCCTGCACCACTGTCATGGGAGAAACTATAGCCGAAAATCATAAAAACTTTTTTGGCCAAGAGCGGGAGCACTTCACTCACTGAGTCACTGTGGCTCTGTAACCTTTTTGTTACAAAATGTTATTTTCCTGGTAGTTTGAATATGTGTTAAAATTGATGGTTACTATTTAGGACCATGACAGTCAAGGGAATATATTATGATTATTACAGCAGGGGCACTTAACAAAGTGACCATACAAAATACATCATTCAGTTCATGATTTGTTTTTAATTGAAAGCAGCTAACAGTTTTATACACAACATCTTTCATAGGTTTGGAATTCCCCAAAGTCTCCATTCCCAGGCGTGAAAATAAACTAGAAATGGCCCTTTACTACATGTACATATAGATAAACATTGCATAAGTTGGTTATTTTTCAAAGCTTAACCGCTGACAGTTCTTAACCTTTTATCTACATGTATGCCACTATATACATGTACCAGACTATACATTAAGTTCTTGTCATAATTCAGCCCAACCTGCATACAATTAAAGAGTATTTTTCACTTTAAAAAAGATTATTCAGAACAGTCAATTCATTATTATTCTGTACACGGAGAATAATTTCTATCAGGTCATCTTTTATCCATCTTCAGTAGATTTTAATTCAATTACAGCCCCAAGTGTAGACAAATGTTTCTTTAAAGTACTCAATTATGTAAATAGCATTATCAAATCACAACTCTTCAGACAGAAATATAAAGACAGTGTATTTCTCTTAATATTTCCCTGACTCCACAGATAAGACCAGGGTTCAAATTCAGTTCAATCTTGGATTCTTGAATATTTTTTCTTTAAGATTAACTGGCGTCAATTTTATATTAATATATAAACTGCAAAATATCCAAATCTTTGTTAGTAATCAGCACATTCAACAATGTCCAATCATTGCTTAACACTCTGTCAGAACAACATGTATTATTTAACTGATACTCCTATGTTGCAATTATGCCACTGATTTCTACAAGGTAAAGAATTTAAGCTTTGAGACAAGAACCTCTAGTTCAGTCAGACAGGGTTAATTTATTTGTAAACAGGATGATGTGTGAAGAAATGCGGGGGACATAAAATGATAAATCAAATGGGTTGACCCCCCAACTTCACAAAATCACAATACATTATTTTTAAAAAGTAAATCAAATGTTACATAACCAGTACACGAAAGGGTCTCTGAGTTTCATCTATTGTTGGGCATTAGCACCGTACATGTATTTATTATAGTAAACAGAAAACAGTGATTTCTTCTTTGCTATATTTTAAAAAATATGTAAATATGATATACATGTATAGGGAATTTTTATTGTGTGTAAATGTAACACAGTTTTTAGTGGACCTTGACAGTATATCCTCCAATCCCCATTTCTCTCTAATCCGAAGTACAGGACAACCACATCACACAAACAACCAAATAGAAACCCGGGAGACAAACTCAGACAAAACACACCAACACTGCAAGTAACAAACAATAAACTCAAGTGGAGGGATCCAGGTTGAGTGGGTTTTGAAACAATTTTGGTTTCTCAGAAAACTGTGAACTTTAAGTACCATACAATACAAATGTTCTTGCTTCATCAACTTAAATGATAACATGAAATTATTATTGCTCAAATGCAGTCATGTCGGCAGTATTATCATTACATTTCATGTCACCTCATTCATAGCAATTTCAACAACATTCATGACAATAAATTTAAAGAATTAAATGTTAATCCAAGTACATTTATTGTGTTAAAATTTGGAGGTTATAGCTGTTTTAACTTCAGCCAATCTGATATACAGATCTATATTTCGCCTTGTTTTTTTTTATACTTTCGATGGCCTACACTACATGAAGACCTGTCAAGTTATAGTGGGAGTTCACGTCAGGGGTTAAGAAAGCGGCTTATGACCCTATGATGTCAGACATTGATTAATCAATCAGCGTTTCTAGTGGTTTACCCACAGTTCCATGCTATAAAAGGCCAAGAACTCGCCGTAACAGACCGTTTCATTGGCTAATCCCTCACATCATTCATAACATGTCAATGATAACAACTCTTCCAGATGCTAGTGTAGTAAAATGAAACGAAATAGGTTCTGTGTTTTAATCAGATTGAACTTCAGCCAGTCGGTACTTAAATCTGTACAGTCATTAGCCTCAAAAGTCAACATTTGCTCCGTAACTGATTATATAAAATAAATTGTCACTTTGTATAGAATCAATACAAAGGTAATTATTATCTATTGATTTTGTAATAGCAGAATATATAAGTCATTGAATAGCAGTTTATAACTATATTTATTATTAAACCAGTTTTATTAAAGAGCCCACATAACAGAAGACCCAAACAATTTTCATAATTTAAATAAAACACAAATAAATTTAGAATAAATCATTTTTAAGATAGTAAATTAAAAGATTTTAAATAATTTAGGTAAGTTTACTTATCTGTATGTTAGCATAATACAAATCAAACACATTCAAATAACATGAATTTGTTGGTAGAAAATCTCAATAGAAACTTCAAATGACTATAGTTTTAATTAGTAGAGTGATCAATCAGAATAATTTCTGAATTACTATGTTTTTGTTGCTAAGAGTATCTATTGGAATTAAACAAGTTATTGGATCTGACATATTAATATTGTACATCAACATAAAGTACCACCACATATCTCTACAGGAGAGATTTTCAAGACTTTTTGTAGATTTTAGCTGAGCACTGTGATTTTTTTGTTTATAAGGATGACAAACCCGCTTACATCTGGTAGCTTGCTTGCAAGCTATTTCTGTTCTTTTATGAGCAAGAAAGCAGGAAGTTTATTTCTTAACATAATTGAAAGGCAGGATACTTTTGTCATCTAATAATGGCTGAAAATCTATTTAATTAAACAAGAAAACCATCTTCCGATATACTTGTCGATAAATAAAAATTGGCAACTTATTTTGTACACCACTAACAGAACATAATCAAAATATATGAGGACTGGTTAATCACACTTGGTGTATTATTGAACCGCTTTAATAATGAAGAATATATATGTATATTACAGTACAACCTGTAATAAACCATTTTGCTCGCTAAGGAAACCAAATGGCAGAATTTATAACCAAGGTTTATGGCATATAAACAAACATTTTAAGTTTCATCAAAATTGAAAGAGCCCACAAGCTATACATACATTTTTCGTAAAATCAAGGACCATAATCCATGAAGTTACAGTTCGATACGTGCAAAATATCGAAAGAAACCAAAAGAGAGAGAGAGAGAGAGAGAGATGGGGTTTAACGCCCACTCAACACAAACTAGGTCATTTCAGGACTAACATATGGTTTAATTTTATTTAAATAATTCGCTTGCAGTACAACCGGGGATTCAAAACCACGCCAGTCGACTCAATGACTCCAACCCCCCAAGAAACCAAGATCTTTGGGATATAAACGTATATTTCTGATAAAAATTGTGTCCTGTAGAGTGTTCACAACCTGTAGAGTGTTCACAAATAAAATGTTAACGGACTGACAGGGGACAACAATTTTTTTCTTGTGTAGTTTTATTCCTGAGGCTCCTCGCAGTGTTTCGTCGGATTAGACCTAATCCCACTTAACACTAATGTAATGGAAGCAAATGTCTGTTCCAAATTATGACCGGTCAATAGTTCGATTAACAACCAATAACTAACTGCGTACTAATATCATTCGGCTTTAAACAGCTCAAAATTGGACCATAACTTACGATATTTATAACTCCCAATTAACTAGTGCATAGCAGAATATTGCAGAAATACTAATTTTGTGACAAATGAGGCCATCAAATGGCTACAATGTAAACAATACTGTTTAGAGATGAACAATACTTTCACCGTTTTTAATACCTTAAATCACTGTCAAAAGTTTTAGCGAAACCCCAGATTAAACGAAGGGCTGTCATGTTGCTGTACTTGGGATAGATTTGATTGAACAAGTATCAGAAGTCAATCCAGGAATATGTAAGGAAGTAAGTTTTTACACATACAAAGTGTTAGATGCTATAGAAGATGGCTTTGTGATACCCATGACTTGTTTTTAACCACAAGAAAATGTGGACGTATAAAAATAGAGATAAACTCTCTCTGGTAATTACGCAGCTAGTTTGACAGTGGGAACTGATGCATGGCTTTAGTAATACCCATACAATAAATTCTTTGTAAAATCTAATGGAATATGTTGTAAATAGGTATTTTAAAAAATGACTTATTATTATGGGTGTGACTATTCTATGAGAAATGACCACATGCTATTTGCCCTGTTTATTTATCTGTCCAAAGTCCACAAACAATGGAACTAGTGAATACATTACCTTATAATAAGCTTATTGACCTTAATTACCATTTATATAGACTACTGAGAACATTTCTATACATATGTATTATTGATTTATTACAAGAAATAGATGGAATTATAACAGAGCAATGCTATACTTTAGAAAAAATAAAAGCAATCTAATTAAAATCTTATTTTTATTTCAATTTTATGGTTCTGATATTTAGCACTACACTGTAAATACGTCATACATGTGGTATACTTTGGTCATTTTGAGACTAACATACAGTTGTTTTTTCTTAAGGTAAAATATGCAATGCTAGGAAGGTGAATTTAGCCCAGACAGCAACGTTTCCTTTTACTTTTCATTAAATCCCAACTGTCAAAGTTATTTTCTGTGCACTTCATAATGTATATGTGTGGAACTCATTTTTCTTGTCAGCCCTGGAGGTGTTATCTCCAGTAACTGGAAACATGACTTAAAAAATCCCACATTTATTGTCTGCCTATGTTGTGATTTGAACCCTGGACGGTTTGTGTTCAAGCAGTTCTTGTTATGCACAGGACTACAGTTACTTTAAAAATAGTGCCCGAAGCCTAAGGTAGAGATGTGTTTTGATGTGGCTTTTTGTGTGAATCCAAAAGATATAACTTCACTGATCTTAATTTTAAAAAAAATATATAGATACAAAGAGACACAAGAAAACAAACAAATGAATTGAATAACATCTGACTATCAGATCAGGAATTTTTCTTAAAATACACATATAAAGACCTAACAGTAACACATTATGCTTGGTATAATACATTTTCAGGTAAATCTAGAAACATGATGTAGTTATTCTACATGTATAAGACTATGCCCAATGAACTATCCAATGTAACATTATCTAAAACATGGTGAAGTTACAGGTACATGCACCTTCAAGTCAAGCTCTGTAGGTAATTTTCAGGTCAGTGTGACTGCATATGCTGTGGACATATATTTTTTTACAACACATATTATATATCTTAACCAACAGGTCAATCATGTCTCTCAAACCACTAAGTTAGACTTGCCAAGTTACAAAACAATATAAATTACAATAATATCTAGTAGGCCTACCTCATTTAATCTAAACAAAAAATAAAATCAGAAACCATATATCTTTGATCTTTCCAGACAATAAAAGGATTGAATAATTTATTTTTCATGACTATCATAGTTTTAAATTGCTGACAATTTTGACAGAAACTTAGAGGCATTAGCACTTTGGGGGTTGGATCGATCTGATCTGGTAAAAAAACCATTTAAATTTGATGTTTTGAATCTGAATATATACACAGCTATATCAAGCTGGTTCAAATTAAATGTATGCAAAATCTGAGAAAAATCTGTAAAGCCATCTAAGACAAGCGAGCCACAGTGGCTTAGTGAGTAAGATGATGGTTCGCTAATCAGGAGGTCTGGTGTTCGCTCAAGATGTTGGCAGAGAAAGTTCCATATGATTTTAGGGCATGGTTACCCCTTGACAGTAGTGATGGAGGGTCTGACAATAAACAGTGTCTAGTCATTCAGATGGGACAAAAAATGAATGTGATAATGCCTCTTTAAGTTTTTGTAACATACATCTTTTGGTACCTGTTCTATTCACTATACATTTATAGAAAAAGGAACACTTCAACATATGGTTTACATGAAGCAGCCATATCGAGCCAATGTTAAAAATAGAGAATATCCTCTAATAAAAGGTTTTCAGTGTAATGTAATAATGAATTTATAGAGTGTCTGCACTCCAACCATGTGCTATAGATTTCAAAATAGTTTGGTGCATGTACATGTTGTGTACACTGGTAAATATATTATGAATGTCCTACCCTACAATATGTACATGTGCAATAATTTCAATTTTTTATTCAAATTTTCCGGTTTCCCCCCACTGTTAAAGACCCCTACACGCAAGCGAATTATTGAAATAAAATTGAACCATATGTTAAACCCCATTTCTCTCTCTTATTAAAATTTACTTCAAAAGTTCAAACAAATACCTTCATCTTTAATGATTCTACTAAAAGTCAATAAATTCTATTTAGTCAAGACACTTGAAAATTATTATACTCTGGTTAATCAACAATTAGTAATACAAAGATATTACATTGTAATAAAAGCTCAATAATGGGACAATAAGCCTGACATTTTAGCAAATACTATACAACACTGCTACATACTGAAGGTTGTTGACTATTCTGTCAAAATAAGACAAATGCACACACTCCAAGATCATCATTTTGTGAATAAAACTTTGTGCATGGATTAATATCATTCATACTATTCAAAATTAAAAGTCATGAACTAGAATTCAATGTTGGTTCATTTCAATTAATACTGAATTTGGCATCCTAATTTAATATTAATAAGACACAGTGAACATTTTAAAATCAGTACATAACATCGTCTGCTCATGGATTTTGAGTGCCATTTGAAATGAACAAAGAAAAACAAATCCCACAAGATAATGTGGAAGTAATTAACAAATAACAAAATGATAATAAAAAAAATGTGTAGAATATGATAACATTTCATTTATGATTGCACTCTCTCCATCCATATTGCATGCTCTTAAGCGCATGGAAGATAATAGCTAATCCTGATAATAAGTAGCAAACAAATGGATTTTTGAGTTCGGATTTGAACACAGCTAATGTTTGAGAACTCTACTGTATCCCCAATTGGTAAGTTATACTACAGACGCGGTCTGCAGAGACTGAAGGCTTTATCCCCATAGGATTTCAGTTTAGCTTGTGGCACAACCAATGGGGGCTTATTTTGTGAGCGAAGTGGTTGATTTAGTTGATATAACTGAATGAGGTCCGTGAGGTAAGAATCAACGAAGCAGGAGTAAACGACGGTCTTTAATTCAGACTGTTTACGTACATGTATTTCACTGAACACATTGATTAGTAAAGAAATTACAATAAACTTTGATGTAAATTTTTCACAAAATATTTTCAGGAATTTTGCTTTTCTGTTTTGGCATTCACAGAAAAAATAAATGTCACCCCCACCATAATTTTACGCTGTCACGAAAGTCATATGTCATCAATTGAATGTTGTTTTTTTTTTAAATATGGTAGGCCACATTTAAAATAAAAAAAAAAATCATGCCAGTTAGATCTGTTATCTATTTATTGCAACAAAGATTTGGTAAATTGTCTGAGCTAAATGCAAGATACACAAGTCAATCATAAAGAATCATGAGTGAAAACTCAGAAGAATAGATGACTGAACGAGTGTGGCTGTCAGTCAGTGTGTGTAAAAAGTAATGATATAGCTGTCACTGCAGTGCAAGATCATCATTATTTTGACATCAAATAGTCTGACAGGTCATTCCTACTTGTACTTCAACATAACAAAGTGGGGATCAACTGAACTTTACAATTACACCAGTATGGTTTGGGTCAGGGTTACTAGTTTTGTTTTCTAGTTTAAAGTTAAGTAGATCTAGATTGACTTCCTCTTTTATTCTTTATTTATTTTATAAATTATCAAATACGGAATTGAAATTCAGTAACCCTAACTTGTGGGATTGTAAAGGTCAGTTGATCCAAAAGCAAATATGAATAATAATTATATAGTTATATAGACTGTATAAATGTTCGATGAACCCAGCTGATGAAAGGTTATTGACAGTAATTTTGAAGTATTTAGTATATCTTATTTATTATAAACTATACCACACCTGTAATAGGATAACAAGCCGTTCTGAAGTACAAACCATCTTTTCTGATAACCTTTCAGGTAGTTAGTCCATTTGTAAAGAAATCCCTTGTAATGGGACATTCGTAGCTTGGTTTCAGACATCTTTTTCTTACCAATTTTACCGTTAACCGTGGATATAGTGGGGCTTGACAGTTGTTAAAAGAACTTCATTTGTAAACATCAAAACAAATTTCGTCGAAAATGGCCGATGTCCACGTCACGCACGTCTAATATATTCTTCAACTTCCGTTAATAATAGAAATAGGTCTTCAATATTTTTACTTCCGAATATATATTCAACAAAATAAATGTTCAACTATATATCTAACATTCTCAAAACATCAATGATTCGTGTATCCATGGCAAAAATACAATGAAACATTGTAAATTTCTTTTACGCGGATGAATCCATAGTCAAAGTTCAAAGTTTGAAGGTCACGGACACCTGTCAGCAGATATCATTTTGGTAACTGAAGCGTGCTAATAAGCTTAGTGCAGTTCCAAATAAATACTTAGTAACTGCAGGATTTTGATAATATAGTTTCTTTACTATCCCTTTCTATTGTGGTTATTTATCCATTCCCCTAAACAAATATTCTTTCCAGAATATTGTTTCGTCTTAATCGACACTGCCGGCTATACGTCATAGGTCGAACCCAAGTTCAAAGTTTATATGGCACTTTTTTGTTTTCACCTGACTTTGAACATTTCAATTTCCACATCAAAATATGGCGCTGGATATTATAGATACCTGTCAGATAATTAAAGAAATGTACTAGAGCTGGAGGATGATAAGCTTGAATTCTCGTTAATTTTTAAACCCGTCACATTAGAATAGAATTTATCCAAAGGCCTATAAACAGACTTGTAAAGAGTAAAAGATATTAGGCTATTTAAAATTGTCATATCATATCATATAAATAAATTATGATTTAGAATGAAATTAATCTTATCTTTTTGAAATTGCGCTGTAGTGTATTTAATATAACCTATCTCTAAGAAGGAGTAGCAAAGATTTACCCCAATCCACCCAAATCTACCATTATTTCAACTTTAAGACAATATACTGGTATCGATATTTAAAAATATAGGCCTACTGTTCTTTATGCCAAATTGTCATTTTTAATATTTACAGTTGTAACATTTATGTGTCAGAATTCACCCTCAAAATGCAATTGCCAAGCAAGTTTGGAAATTGTAACCAAAGGGCATAACTTGTTTAGTGCACAAAATCGCTTGTTTGAGAATTGCATTTTGAGTAGCCTACAATTTTAAATTAAAAATGCATAAAGAACAGTAGGCTATATTATCAATAAATAGAGATATAAAATATTATATGACTTTAAATAATGGTGCATTTAGGTGGTTTTGGGTAAATCATGCTACTGCTCAGAAGACACAACTGCTAGTGGACATGTGCTTTCTTGCAATCTATGATTCCAGATATTGGGAGAATAAAATGGGAGCAGTACTTCAAAACCAGACAGAAATATTTTACTGTGACTGTGGGCCCAAATACAAATGTCAGAATTGAAAATATTTTCTTGGATGTTCATACAACTATCCTCAGTATCCTATAAAAATAAATAATTTGCCAAATATTTACCAATACTATTGACAAAGGTTAAGGCTACTTGGGAAAAGGAGCATAGCACATCATCACAATTTATTAAATAGACATTCATCCGATATGCTGATTGTTAGAATTAATGGCATATTTTGGACCAATTTTTTTCAAATAGAGGAAATCAACCAGATTTAAGCACAGGGTATATTGTGCTACCTAATCTGTTCTATATTATACAAAAGTCAAACAAACTTTTGTTAGCTATGTGAAATCCTCAAAAGATCTCCAAAATACCACTTAAACTTGGATTTTCTAAAGTAGGCCTATTCGGTTTTTTTTCAGAGTTTTAAAATATGTCTTATAATAGAAGTGAGGTATTGAGGTATACGCTATCTAGTAAAAATGTTCTGACACCAGATGAAGCAGAACTCTATGAACTGACACAACTAGCAGGTGTATTAACAGATCCTAGCGTATTTAAGTAAGTCATTTGAACAAGAGGCTTGATTTCAAGGGCATAATGTCTGGAGGATCTTTAAAAACTTTATATAAGAATGAATATATATAAGAATGAATAGTAACTGTAATAAACAGTTCTGATGAAATGAAATGCAGGTTAATGTCATATTTTTCTGCACTGCCGGGTACGGCCTATTCTTATTTCGAATTCCAACTGTCAATGGTTCTTTTACGTGCACATGGCTTATCTGAACAACTACATGTATACGTTTTCCCTGGCCATGCCCTCCATTCTGCACCACTGACAAGGGGGAACCACACTGGAAAATCACAATGAATTTTCTCAGCCACACCAGGATAAATTAAGGACCTCCAGGAATAGCGAGCCAGTTTCTTAAAGAGACCATCCCGATTTTAACACAGTCTCTGAAATAAAAGTCTGTGTACATATAAAAATTAAGCACCAAAATATAGAAGAATGGTTTATTTACCTTGTCTCAAAATTTCAACTCAAAATATTGAGTTGTTTGGACGTGAAAATCAAAACCGCTTATCCGGACAAATAACCCTTTTAAGATTTCAGCTTGGGACACCGGTCTCCATTCCAGATGAAGACTGACAGGTTTAAGTTGTTCGAAAACGTATCACGTATATTGAGGTAGAGAATTTTAAGGGATTTTATAAACTTTAACAAAAAAATTAAGCAGTTTTATCCTCCAAAATATAATCGAGATTGGCCTTTTAAACACTGAGCCATTGCTGCTTCCCAGTTCTGATGATTTAGCTGCTGGGGGGCGGGATTGCTTATGGTGTGTTGCTGGCTTTTTATCAGTCATTGTGACTTAATACAGAGATGAGAAGAAAAAAAAAATGGAAGTTTAGTTAAAATCCTACTTTCGTACACCAACCCGTCTAATGAAGTTGGGTATATAATGCAGAGTGCTATGAGAGAAATTTGTCCTGACAGCACTATGGTGTACTCTATTTCCATTTACATCTGTTATTGGATCTTTATTGTGCTGCAATTTCTGCCGGAGCTTTGTAGTGCTAAGCAATTTGATTGGTCAAGACTTTGGAACACAATAAATTCTAATGTTCAAACTTGCTGTAGAGGTGCATGTCATCAATGATGAGCATTTTCTGCTTAGGCTAAGCAGTTTGATTTGTTTGTACTTGAAACACGATAATTCAGATTCTAATCCAGTGAGAATGGTAAAAAGAGGGATAATAAAAAGACAAATGTACAAGTAATTAATGAATATTGTCTATTTATTTTGAGGTTGTGACTAGCGTGGGAGAGCGTCAGTTTGGGGGTTTTATGTGTGCTACACGCTTGATCACCAATATTCCTTCCAGCATTACCCAACAAATTAACTTCAAGGTATGACTGTTGTGCCTTTCTGGAGGGGGTAGTTTGGGCTAAAGCACTGTACTTCTGAACTCACCAATTCAGTTGTAGTTCGATCACACTGCTGTAGTATCTATTGCGCAGACTGAAACAATATTAAACTAATAGAAGCATGTCATTTATTCTTTTTCAGAATAATTCTAGATCTACTCAAGTTAAATGTGGCACCAGCAGCTATTCTTCATATGATCAAATCAATGGGTGCACCATCCAAAAGACAGAACACAACACCAGTTAAAAATTCCTCTGCCAAACCTAAAGAACTACCTATTCCAACTGGTCAAAAATTTAAGGCACACTCAAGATCTAGAGATATAAGAAAATAGTGACTGTTTTGACTTTGTTTGTTATCAGATCTGTTAAAATTTTAATGAAAGCGACATGTGAATGAATTTACAATGATTTACAAGAAGTTACATCAAACATTTCTAATTTTATCTCATTCATCTAATGATAACAACCCTATTTAAATACAGTAAACTTCGTGTAAGTCGGATCTAAGTGGACTGACCTATTCTGAGTCAAGAGAAGATCCGAGTTATCCGAAGACCGAAATTCAATCTTAGCTTGATTAGAAATAAACTGCAAGAGCCGGCCGGATAATAATTGATTCAAAGGCACATTTCAAGCTTTTTTTTGTATGGGTGAGTAGATAACTTCCGTCTTTGAAAAATCTACTAAATTTTCCTAGAAAATGTCTCATACAGCAGACAGCGAGTTTCGAATTTTCCGGGAAAACTCTATTATTGTGCCGTGTCAAATAGGGGGAGCATTTTGGGGCTCTGTGACTGGAATACCTAATCACTTTTAGACCATCGAGACAAAACTGAACATACTGCCGATCCGACTTAGGCGAAGGAAAAAAGTCGGAATTAGATCAAATGGACCGAACATTTTGATCTGAGTTGAGCGTAGATCCGACTCACACGCAGAAATTTCATAAGAAAAACGTGCAGGATCAAAGGGTCCAAACGATTTTATCCGAGTTGAACGAATATCTTATACGAATCCGACTTACGTGAAGTTTACTGTATCTCAGTGAAATGCACTTAACGACTATGGGCTAATCAAATCTGTATCCAGCTCTGCCATTAACATAATTCATGTTAGTCCTGCAACTTTCTGGGATTTCACTGTACATTTATAGAGGTTTTGCAGGTGATATTCTCCTTTAATGTGCTTTTCTTTATAAACAACATGAAATGCATTTATTTACAAATGGTTTTACAAGGTCTGAACAGTTGATGTTTGTATTTTGCTAAATTATTTTCTATTAAAGAAATGTTTTTTAAAAACAGAGTTTCCTCTTCACTTTAATTAAAATCTAAAGAATTGTGTCAAATTTGGTCCATGTAGAAAACATTTTATTTTCCTTTTATATTCCAACTATATCCCTGTGTTGACTAAGATAAGGAAAATAAAAACCATTTGAAATGACTTGGATGATATGTTAAAATAAGTAATAATCAAATTTTCTAAAAATGTGTCGTCACCATTTAGGTATTTAGTGTTGAGGGAAGAACTCCAGATGTTGAAGCCTTTTTTTCAGCAATTTCCGATAATTACTGTCAGAGTTATGGTCATTCTAGAGGCCAAAGTTATCTGGTTGTTTCATTGCCTGACAACCTATCTTTTGTTGAGTAATTTTCCTTCAATGTCTTGTTAAATTCTCCAGAGATGGCATGGGGATCAATAAACTATATTTTACTTTAGGCTAATTTAAAATGAATCACATGTTTCAATGGGGTTTAACATCCACTCGGCACAACCCAGGTCATTTCGGGACTAATGATTAAGTTTTATATTAATAATTCGCTTGTGCGTTGGGTAGTGGGAGGACCTAAAGAAAACCCACGAGGTTGGACTGGCGACGCTACTCCTTGTCACGTACAACCGGGGAATCGAAAAAACACCCCAGTTGACTCAATTACAGACCGTGCACATGCTAATCCTTCGGACATCCAATACCTAAAGTTACTATGAAAATCCGGAAACGGCAGGGACTACCTTGTTTTATTGTGTTCGGATATATCGAGAAATACAAGACTGTGAAACCAACTTCAAACAGTGCTACATGGCTCCCAAGACTGTGATTTTTAAAAGAATAGAAATCAGGATAGGGAATGAATAATTCCAGTTAAATGACCATAACATATGTAATTCTTTAAATAAAAGTTCATTCAGTCGGAAATAAATATATTTTTTAATATAAACAATAATTAATAAGAATTACATACACATTATATTAATATACATACACATAATATACCAATTATATTAGCTATCTACAAATTATACATTAATATGGACGGACAAATTTATTGCATACTATAGTACATGAGAAGACTTATACAGTGTATGTGTACAAATATTTAAAATAGTCTCATAAAATATAAATTGTAACCACTTTTAAGAGAAAGTGAGAATTAGAGAAATTAATGCGTAGAAAATACTTTTACTGATTTCTGAACAATGTTTCATAAAAAAACCTTTAATTCTGTTTTATACTAAATTGTCATTTTATTAAGAACATCTAGTTCATGAGTGAAATTTTGTATTTGAAAGCTTCATGTTGTACGGGTATCTTTCAGTAAATCTCTTGTTGCTGATTCTCTAGCATGTAACATCTTTTGTCTGGCTTTCTTGAAAGCTTCTGAAATACAATAAAGTTAATATTTTTAAAAATAAAAACCTGACACCATTTCCCAAAAATCTATTTGTAGTCATTTGTGAGATTTTAAATTAATTGCAGTTTACAAGATTGTGAAAGTTGAATATCTAAAAGGAATATAATATGTTCAAAAATCTTCAATTCCGTTCTGTATTTACAACCATATGATGAATTGAATATTTGGAGAATAGCAGGAAATAAGGATCAATTGATTTATCTTGAAGTTTTCATTTCTATTAAAATAAACTTAGTTATATTTAACAATAACTATGTTAAAACATGTGAATAATCATATTCCTGAAGCAATGGCCCAAGATATCCATTGCTGGATTGGCTTCTGATACTTGAGCTTTTGAGGGAGTGTGTCTATTCTTCCTGTCAAATCAAATCTATCCCAAGTACAGCAACATGACAACCCTTCGTTTACAGCAGTGTTAAGTGGGATTGGCTCTAATCAAACGAAACACTGCTAGGAGTATGGTGAATAATAGAGTTGTAGAAGGTTTACCTATAACACTTGTAACACTAGCTTGTTGTGAGGTGATTCTGAATAAAAAAAGAAACATAATTCCTTATTATTTCAAATACCTTTGAATACTTCTTCAGCAATTTATGAATAAATATTTGATGAGTCACTGACAAGGGAAAACCAGGTTGAAAAATCAGGTAAAACCCAGGACCTACCTACTGCACCTGTCTCACAGAGCCAGTGACCCCCAACATAGAGTAACAGATTTTCACAGTTCAGTTGTACAAGAATTTTGCAGGCCTTGAGATCTGAAAGTCCCGCTGGAGTTATAAAATGTGTTTGCCAGATATTTTGCTTTTTAGCACTGCCAAATTTCTATCCGAGACGAAGCTTTTTATAACTAGTTTACATTAAATTCAAACTCAAAGATGTATAAATTATATTACAAATAAACACTGTTTATAGGCTGAATGTTGATAAATAAAAAGCATGGAATACCATTTGTTTAGATATCATACATGTGTATGTCCAATTACATTTCAACAGACAGGAATGTTATTTTGACTGCGCCACAAATTTATTGTTTTGCTTTAGAACTGTGGGACAAGCTCAAATTACATTTACATTATGATGTGTTGATTGCGTATGACCAAGTCACTAGTGGTACATTGTAGGTAGTCCATGGAACGTTGACACAGCAGTACTGGGCTTCGATAATGCTTTTCAATCACAAATGCCACGTAAAGTCAGCTTAAGTGCGTAATATTTATTTACTATCAAGTTACATGAAATAATGAACAAAAAACAAGCCTCTCCTTGATAGATAATAAAACTACATCATATCCACTGTCATACTGGTAAATCGCTAATTATGATTGGCTACTATTTTTGGAGTTAGAGGTTCTAATAGTAATGGAGACAAAAGCATTAGATTTCGTCACTGTATTTTGAAATTGTTTTTGGTTTTATATTTTTTAATTATTTTAAACATAATTGTCAATGTTTTCAATGTTGGCAAAATCCTCAAAAATGTAGAAATGTGCGTCTAGGTATTCTTTACGACTGATCTCAATTTCACGTTTCCCCTCCAGCCTTGCTCATTAAATTGATAATTCCATGTCTCAAGCATAACTTTGCACCTGAATAAATGAACATCAATGTGATGGTGACATCGAAAATAGACCTGGGCTTTGTGGGGAGAATTCATTCATGGTTTTGGGGACGATGTCGCATAGTATTTTGAGCCCGCTGGCGCGATAATTCGTGTGGGCACAGCACGATCACGCCCGTCAAATCTCAAGGCCTGATTTTGTGTTTTATATATTTAAATAAAATACGAAGTGGGAATATCAGATGTAAACAGAAAATAAAATATATTTAGATGTTGATCAAACAGGTTCATTTCGAAATGCGTGTATTAGCTTAGTAGATAGCTTACCCTAAATTGTCAAGTAAAGCACCAAGAGATTTTTTGGAAGATTTCTTTTCCATAAATAACCTGAAATGATCCCAAAATGGATAAAAATATATATATATATCTATGGCATACACATATTGGTGAGAGATAAAAAAGTGAGAGATAGAAATGGGATTTAACGTCAACACAAACCATGTCATTTTGGGACTAACATAATAAAGGTTTCATTTTTTTTTCAATAATTCGCTTGTGCGTGAGAGTCTAGCAGTGTGTGGAAACCAGCGAAAAGTTATATGGTTGGGCAAGCAACCTTACACCTTGCCACATACAAGGTTGACTCAATTACAGATCTTTCGATCTAAAGCACAGATGTTTGACCATTCGACCACCTAACCATCAACAGAAGAGAAAATAGTTAAATGTTTTTTGACAGGCTGACAAACATACCTAGATTGTAACATTGTGTTGAATCTCATCGTAATACTTCCTGTTGTCTCTGTACGAAAACCAAATTTACTCAGATGACTTCCCTGAAATAATATAAATTTTATGAGACAGATCTGTAAATTGTTTGAGGAACGCTTGTTCAAAATGTCTTACTTTAAGTAGGTGTGTGTTTGGATTTTGGATAATTAGGTGAGTCTGTTATTCAATATGATTCCTGTTTTTATGAAACATTAATACTTCCTTGTTGTCAAACTTTTCAACAACCAATCAAATTAAAATGGGATTAACTGGGGATGTAAATGTCTTTATATTAAAAAGTATGACTCCTGAATGCAAATAAAAAGTTTCACCACTCGAAATTAACTAAAAAGAAGAAAAAAAACATTTGAAGCAAGCTGCTTGATTGTCCAGTAGACAGCAGGCAATCTAGAACATACAGTAACAAAGGCTCAATACAGCAGTGTACACTGTTAGAATTGTAAATAAATGAAACATACAAAAATTCAGTAAAAACTATTACTAACAGACTATTGCCCCCATTAATCTGGTCTGCCCTCTGTTTGCCCCCCCAATAATTTTAGAAAATAAAAAAAAGTATTTGTGATACGTTTCGGTAATCAATACCTTCTGCGGTGAATAAATCCCACATCCCCACTCATAAACTTGCATGTTGTAGAGCATTTCCAACAGTCATTTTTCAAAATTTTCTTTGCGAGGTCCCCAATGGACTCGCTACTTTGGCGCTCTTAAGGGGAATTCGTTGAGGTTCTCTATTTGGATAAACTAGTGATCAGGCGACGGACGGTATCTGGTCAGATCTATTTATCTCGACGATCGGTGTCTGACAGAATACTGTAAGACAGCATTTCCGGCAGTCTATTTTTCAAAATTTTCTGGGGGAGGACTCCCTGCTTTGACGCTCTTGAGTGGGCTTCGTCGTGATTCGCATGTCCGTTCGTTTGACACTTTACCTCATGGATCAGTGCCTGAAATACTGCCAGGCTGCATTTCCGGCAACCTGTTTTTCAAAATTTTCTGGGGGAGCCCCCTACCCCTAGTTAAGCTTGTGCCTTTGCCCCCTTAACCTTGGACTTTGCTCCAGCTTTGCCCCTCCAATCACCGACGGCTGGTGCCGCCACTGCTTTCCATATATACCAAAATTGACATGCTTTTATTGGAAATAACCACCCGATAAATACTTTTCTGGGAACCTATCTTTAAATAATTAGCCTGTCTGGTCATATTTTGAATACTCTAAACAGATAGTTTGTGTACTTACATCAAATGTGGAAGGTATTCCAGTGTAAGTAGGAAATTCTAACTCAGGTGAACCACCAATAAAAAATCTTATAAGTTGAGATACAATCGATTTTTGTGCTGGTCTCCAACAATCTCTGGTCTCAACAGAAGTACCTAATGACAAAAAAAATAAATAAACTATTTGCTATATACCATAAAAAACAAGAAAAATTGTGAGATGGATGGGGAATCTTCCTTTGTTCTTTTTGTTGAATAAGCAGATTGGGTGGAGCTTAACCATGAATTAACTAGACATTGTCTTTTGCTGGTCTACGCCAGTTTTAGTAGAAATCATATAGAGAAATGAGCAGGTTTTTTTTGCAATAACAACAAGCATATTGAACAGGTCTCAATGTTACTGATCATTTATAGCATGCTTCATTCATTAACAGGGTTAATACCTTGGCCGCACGGCTGCTGTGTTTAAACCTGTTAACTCATGAAAGCCGTGATATAACTTCTTATATAGCAAAGCTATCAAGTCTCCAAAATATTTAATTTAGCTTCAATCTGTAAATCACCTAGTGTTTGTCATAACACAAAAGAAAATAGCTTATAAGTTAACAATATAGGTTGGGCAATATAAAGGATGCTGAAATAAAAAGACTGTGTTTGTCTGCTATAAAGTTGAACCATGTTAATGTTACAATTTCATATTTTCTAAGAAAGTCAAAACATAATTATTTTTATGTCTTTTACTCAATAGGTTGTCAACTCATTATTATACGATCTTTCTCACACTTAAAAATCTTCACAGCGGAAATAATAACACAATTACCTCCGAATTACCTCCCTTGTTTTCTATTCCCCACCATGAAATAGCTATCTTCAAACGTTTGAATTTGAAGTTGAAAATGATATTTTTGCCAATTTCTCAACTGGCAATAGTGAATTATAGGATTAATAGAATTATTCTTTAACAAAGTAGGACTGTTTTTAGATACCATGTATTTTTGGGCTTTATTTTAATACATTTTAAAAATATAACTTAAAAATATGAAATTGTAACTTTAAATAAACCTATTTCACACAAATCCAAGAAGACTGGATGGTCATAGATTTGTTTTTTATCTAATATAATGAATATATGTTACATTTTTATTAACAGTAAATTTATTTGTACCTGGTTTTCCTGGTAACTGAAAGTATGTGTAGCCCTCTGTTCGATATCGCTGCCATGAATCAAGGGAAAGAACTTCAACATATATCACAGGAAAGTGAGGTAACAGATCTGAAAGAAATGACATAAATAAAATTTCAAAGAATTTAAAGGGGCATTATGTAAGATTTAGATAAAGAGCTGGCTGTTCTCGTATTTTAAAAAAAAGATAATGCAAAATGAATATATTGAAAATTTCATTCAAAAAATACTTTTTTTTGAGCAAAGTTGTAAATTTCATAAGATCTGTGCATTGATTGTATAAATATAGAGAGAGGTATAACTTCCACTTGCCAATAACCAGATCATTTTAGGACTATCATTTATCAATAATATGCAGGCATCATTAGAAGTTAGTGGAGATGAGAGTACCAAGAAAAAATCCACAAGCTAAGGTAGAGAGAGAGAGAGAGAGAGAGAGAGAGAGGGAGGGTTTAAGGTCCACTCAACACAAACTAGGTCATTTTGGCACTAACATATGATCTAATTTTACTTCAATAATTCGCTTGCACGTAGGGGTCTTTAGCAGTGGGAGGAAACCGCACGACCTGGGGGAAGCCCACGACGTTGGACGGGCGACCCTACTTCTTGTCACATACAAGCGTGGAATCAAACCTATGGCATTTGACTCAATGACAGACCTTCTGATTTCACACGCACATGTTAAACCACTCAAGCCTCCCGAGGTAAGGTAGGCAACATTACATACAAGCGTGGAATCAAACCTATGGCATTTGACTCAATGACAGACCTTCTGATTTCACACGCACATGTTAAACCACTCAAGCCTCCCGAGGTAAGGTAGGCAACATTACACCTTGTCACATACAGAAATGGAATCAAGCCTGTGACTTGCATAGATAACAGTGCACTCTGTTTGTAAACTATACATGTACAGTATATGTTTTGTGAGAAAATCAGCACTAAAATAAAAATCATTGTGGCAAACTGTCAGAATTGAAAACAAAAACAAAATTTGTAAGACTACCTTTCTCTTCTTCCTTCACATATTCTCTTTTATAAAAAAGCTCAACTTGGAATGGGAAACCAAAATGAGCTACACTTTCCTGAAATATTTTTCAATCGTTTTACAAAGTTCATACTCAAAAACGTAATCATGCACCCCATGTAAAATGAAGCTAAATGGAAAAGGTTTCCCTTTCAGTTCATGTCATGCAAAATAATGTCAGTATTAGCAAGGTTGACTATTGTTATCCATTACCAAAACCATACACCAACCAAAACCACCAAGATCTGCTTTGATTCACACCATGGACATTGCTACAATGAGCTGTTTTAATTTTCTGGTTCAATATATTATTCAAACTGTGTAGGCTCTACATTTACACAAAGATCAAAACACTTTCTTTCAAATTGAGCACTTCAGTTGTTCACATCTTGGTTTAACATGGGTATTATTTTTTTCGCATTTGCATAAAGTCAGACATGCAGAGTCCACACTTGATAGCCTAGATCACCAAGACATGTGAAGATTTTTGTTCTTTGACTATTGTTAACACTAACTCACACAAATAACTTTAAATGGAAACAAACTCACATCCCAAGGATCAATGAATTTGATTTTGTATAAAGAAAATTAGAAACATAAACAAAGACGTGTCAAGCTCCAAAAGTCATCCGAGCAAATCTACAATTATTGCCAAAAAATCTATTATGGAATCTGTTCAAAGTTTTAAAAGCAAAAATGTGAACTGAAAAATAATTAGGAAATTTTACAGGGTTCTTCTGTGTGCCTCATGAACAATTTCACTAAGTTTTAAAAATATCATTGGTCAGAGATAAATCATTAAATGCGTTCAGTTATTTGTACAGAAGTGTACCTGCTTCTGTGATTTGGTTCTGCAAGTCTGTGTTACCCATGACAACTGTTGGTGTCTTTCTGCATACCAATCTAGAAAACAACAACATAAAGATATTATCTACGAGTATGTAAATGTAAATGTAAATAAAAACCAATTGTCTTGAATTGTAATTGGTTGAAACTTTAACCCATTTAAAGATAAATTTTCATTCGGACGGGACGAAAAACCAAGGCCCTGTGTACACATTGGCGTTCACGTAAAAGATCCCTTGACAGCTGGAATTCGATATAAGAGTAGGCCATAGTGCCCGTATGGCATATGCCCGTCTTCATTAGACTAGTTCGGAGCAGAACAGTAGGAAGTTAAACCCCATTTCATTTCATTTCAAAGATAAATTCACTTGGAGACTACACCTACTAGGGAAATTAATTCTCTCTGTGTTGTACTTAAAACAAGCCAACAGTGAGGCTGATGTCCCCCGCCGAAATAGGAAAATAATTAGAGGACACATATAAATTTATCACAAATAAGCGGAACGGACAGACAGACGGACGAACCCATTTTAATAGTTCCCTGCTTTCTTCGAAAGGCGGGGGACAATCAAAGTAGGAGAGTTATTGTTTTCCAAAGTCTCGACCAATCAAATTGCGTATCGCTCTGCTTACCCTGAGCAGAAAATGCTCATTATCAAACTTAGTCAAGGTATTACTGTAATGAAACTATACACCAAGTTTCATCAATCTCACTTAATTAGAACTAAAGTTATTGTGTCCCAAAGCATCAACCAATCAAATTGCTTATCTCTGCTTACCCTAAGCGGAAAATGCTCATCTTCGAACTCCATCAAGGCATTGACCTAATCAACACATACACCAAGTTTGAACATTCTAGCTCAATTAGGAAGAGAGTTATCGTGCCCCAAAGTATCAACCAATCAAATTGCTTATCTCTGCTTACCCTAAGCGGAAAATGCTCATCTTCGAACTCCATCAAGGCATTGACCTAATAAACACATACACCAAGTTTGAACATTCTAGCTCAATTAAAAGTTATCGTGTCCCAAAGCATCAACCAATCAAATTGCTTATCTCTGCTTACCCTAAGCGGAAAATGCTCATCTTCGAACTCCATCAAGGCATTAGCCTAATCAACACATACACCAAGTTTGAACATTCTAGCCCAATTAGGAAGAGAGTTATCGTGTCCCAAAGCATCAACCAATCAAATTGCTTATCTCTGCTTACCCTAAGCGGAAAATGCTCATCTTCGAACTCCATCAAGGCATTGACCTAATAAACACATACACCAAGTTTGAACATTCTAGCTCAATTAGGAAGAGAGTTATTGTGTCCCAAAAAGTGTGACGGACAGACAGACGGACAGACAGACAGACAGACAGACAGACAGACAGACAGACAGACAGACAGACGGACGAACCCATTTTAATAGTCCCCTGCTTTCTTCGAAAGGCGGGGGACAATAAGAAAGTCACACGTCATATAAATGTATATTTTGTGGAATAGCTGTTACACTATAATTATGGATGAAAAAGGGTACATTTTGTGTCGCTATCCCAGTAATATTTTAGCATTAGTTGTTTTTAATTAATTACCTTTTGGTAAATCAACAAAGAACTGAAGATATATATCATCAAATTCAAAATTTTTGGCGATTTCTGAAATATAAAAATATTTATGCATACAAACAGTGGACATTACTAATTTATGATACTCCATTTAAAAGATGTACAATCTGATATACAGATTTATATTTCGTTTCGTTTTTTATACTTTCGATGGCCTACACTACATGAAGATCTAACAAGTTGTACTATGAGGTCGTGTCAGGGATCGTACAAGCGGCTGTTGACCCTATGACGTCAGCCATTGATTAATCAATCAGCGTTGGCGTTTTTTGTGGTTTACCAACAGTTCCATGCATGGCACGCCAAGAAGTCACCGTAACAGACCATTTCATTGGCTTATTCCTCCCTTCACCCAAAACGTCGATAATATAACAACTCTTCCAGATCCTAGTGTAATAAAGACAAGTAAAACAAAATTTTGAACTATAAAAAACAAAACGAAATAGGATCTGTGTTTTAATCAGATTGAAAGATGTAAGAATTCTTAGTGTGAATGCATTGTGACACCTGTCACACCTTATCAAAATTGAGAGAAACTTACAGTACTGTTTTGAGTTCTGATCATTAAAAATGATAGTCTAATGTGAAGTAAGTTTACCCCTGAAACAATACCCAGGACAATATGGCCCCAAATATAAACCAGAAATAAACAAATGTCATCACTTACCAACTTCTCCATATACAACTAATCGTAACACATCAGGTGGTGGCTGAAATTCATAAATAATATTAAATAGATATCACACTTGAACATCAGTAAAAAATTTTTTTTTTCTAATTTGCTGTGATCAATTTTCTCCATACTTAATATGTTAGACTACATTATTACAATAAAAACCAACACAAGAAATTTTATGATCAGGACATTAATGCAGATTATCATCAATGTGCATTTAAATTATTGCAAATTCAGTGTCTAATTAGTCTTGACTGTCTAGTACCATTGGTATGATAATAAACAAAGTCTCGACTATCCAATCTAACATTAAAATATTAAATGGAGCTTGTGTTCTAATCCATTTAATATTTCAGACATCCGATGGCTTATAGAGTTGTCATGTACATAAATGTCTAAATAATTTATAGAAGATTTGAAGCCAGAAAAAAAGACCCACAATAGACAGGTTTAGCTTTTGTATAATGTATCTTTAATATGTTCAGTAAGAAGAGTAGTGCAAGAATCTATTTTGATGTATTAAAGGACAATATTGGTGCCAGTCATTATCACATATGTGATAGAGCTGGATTCCAAATATAATTTTAACACAGAGATCATTGCTACGATAGCTGAGTAATACAGGTTTCCTGAATCGGAAGTGACGAACGCTAAAGGAAAACACGAGTCATCTCTCTATATAACTGACTGAAGTGACGGGTGATAACAGATAGATGGGCGAATTTCTGCTCACTAATAATTCCTTCGAAGACCAAAAGTTGATATATGGGACTGTAAGAGGATACCTGACAATTCAATAAAGTAATTGAATGTCATTAGATAAGAGAACACGAGAAAAATAGAAATAGTCCGTACATTCCCTTGTTTATATTCGTTCTATACCTTATTAAAACATAGTAATGCACAGACTTTTTCTGTTTTTCTTTCGTGTTCACTTATCTAGTGGCAGTCAATTCTTTTTATGAATTGTCAGATATCCTTCACATCAGTCAGTTATATAGAGAGATGACTCGTGTTTTCCTTTGGCGTTCGGCACTTCCGATTCAGGAAACCTGTATTACTCAGCTATCATAGCAATGATCTCTGTGTTAAAATTATATTTGGAATGTGTTTAACCAGCTCTATCACATATGTGATAATGACTGGCACCAATATTGTCCTTTAAGAAACTTTTCATGATATATATATATGCATTACAATATTTCTTTAAGTTTAAAATCTTTATATACATACCAGTTCAAATTCCTGTCCAACACAAGCTTGTAAAAAATCTTTATGTCTGTTATATACCTAAAACAAATGATTAACAATTTATTATAGGTTCATTACCCTGAGGCAGAAATCTACATTTACATTGAAAAGGGCATTATATTGAACTTCAACCCTAACCCACTCCTGTTTGGCAACAAATCAGCATTGCACACCAAGAAGAATAGCACAATATTCCAAGGGTGACATTCCAATGTTTGTTTTCCAGTATGCCAACCAGATGTTGTTCGTGTGCTGCTGGCCACAGCCCACGCTTGGTATATTCACTATATCTAAAATAAAGAATTAAAAAAGTAAATAAACCTACCTCTCTGTACATTTTTAATTCTTTATCTTGCTCAAGTCTATAAATAAACAGAAAAATATGAATACACATAAGGAAGTTCACAATAAAATTTAATCCATTATACTAATCAAGGATTTATGTGCTAACCTGAACATGTTAATACACACTAAACAGATCAATGACAGTTTATTACATATTAGATTAACACTTTCACATTATACACAGACACTTTAGGTGTCTGAACATAGTTTACTATTAACCAAATAAACAAAGTATATGTTGGTGGTTTTAAAATAACTTCAGAAAAATTGGCTAATGAATTTTTATTACAGATAGAAAGATTTAGCTTCAACCTTGTGATAGTTTGGATTTTTTTAACACACAGTAACTTTTTAAAAAGTGGATATTTCAAAAAATATATTCTCCATTTCATTCACGAACACTTGGTAATTCAATATAACCAAATTAAATATTTCAAGGGTCTGACATCTTTTATTTAAAAGAATATCAAATATATTAACCTCAAATATATCAACCAACCTCAAATATATCTACCTCGATATATTGTTTCATCCAAAATGGAAATTCAATTAAAGTGCGCTCATTTTAAAAAAAAAACCACTGGTCTCATGTAATTGATAATACAATAGAGTTAAGATAGAATTACCTATTCATTGGCTTGGATGCATGTTCAATGGTGTACTCATATCTTTCTGGAAAATAGAAAAAACTAAATCTGATAAAAATTATTCTATAAATTGCCTTCACTTTCTTATAACCTTTATGTCTACTTGTATTTTAATGGAAGACCCAATTATCTCCAGAAATTTTCTATAAAAATGTTAAGTACAATCTGAAAATTATAGACATACCACTTGATTTATGATAATATAGTTACCTCTTCCCAAGCTAATTGTTTCTATAATATAAGCTTTGCGACCTCTGTTAAAATCTGGTCGCACTGAGATAACTCCATTAGCATCAATATGCAACATACACAGTATATATTCATGTTCTTCACTTGTTGGTCTACAATTATAAATTATTCAACAATTGGTCTACAATTATAACTTATATGACGTAACAATATTGGTACAGTGAAATGTGTATTCTTTTACAAGGGTAAAATTCCTATATTAGTCCGTTGATTATATCGTCAGTGACAGGGAAAAACCTCAGAAAATAAACTTTTTGGGGGATTCATATTCTGTACTTATTTCCATCTTTCAATGTGTAGTTTATCCACAGATTCAATTTGAAAAAAAAACTTACAAGGTTTTCTATGATCACTAAGGTATGAAACAAATTACTTGGTGTTAAGTTATTAAATTTTAATTATGCAGGATAAACACATAAATTAGCATGTGTCCATATTTTTAAATTGGAAACCCCTTATTAAGTACCCAATTTTTTACATTATTTTGTGTTAATTTGTTTAAATATCTTATAAATAACACATCAAAACTACATTTGAGCAACTTTATTTGTAAAATATAATCCCATATGACTATTAATACAGTACAGAGTTTTTATTATTGAAAGGGAAAATAATTTCTGTTACATTAGAAAAATTCATGTATTGATCCTTTCTACCTATTACCCCAACATTTCTGGATGAATCAAACTTTTTGAAAGCCACTTAATGCATTATATTGGTTATGTTATAGGTCTAGGTAACAGTGTGATTTAATATATTGATAAAGCTGGTAATTACATTTATTATAGAATAGTGTGAGTGCTCCTACTTTCAACAAGATGCCAAGGTACCAGCCCAACTTAAGAAAAAGTCATTAGGCTACATAAAGTAAGACCCTTGGAATATCTATTAGGCAAGTTAACATCCGTGCAAACTAACTAAAAATAAAAGCTGGATATACTAGTACAACTTCTGGTATATATTGATGTATGTACATCCATATAGCAAAGGAGTTTCTGTCAAACCCAGGAGTTATTTCACAAAATATAAATCATTGGACTTACTGTTCCTTTGGACTGAGATCGGCCATGATATACATAACTTGTATTGGTGGGGCTTCAACATGATTTTTAGCTTTCATTTCTTCTGATGGTTTCGGTTCTATTATATTTATTTTTGGTATAATTCCTCGTTCCCTAACAAAATAAAATAATTTTCCAATCAACTCGAAAAAATATTAATTAATAAATTTACATCACTAAAGGTATAAATTTTATTTGGAAGTAAATCCATAGAGATAACTTATATTACGCGAGTACAGCACTGACAGCAATTTAAAGGGGGGAAATTAAATATGTGTGTCGTGGTCTTATGATTCAAGCATGGTTAAATGAACAATAAACTCCCTCTAAATTCGAAACAGGAAGAGTTTGTCTCCTAAATAGCCTGGCCTAAAATCTATGAACTAACTTTTGTCTTTTCACCACAAACTGGAACATGGGAAAAGAAATCAAGGCATTGGCTTTGGCAGTCTTTTCCATTATGCCTGACTTTTTTACCTGCATCATGACATGCCTAATTGAGCCAGTGAAAAAAGTTTATTTTCCTGCTTGAAATAACCAAAGTAAATTCCATCACTGTGCAAAAGGTACAGTCATATTGATCATGTAGGACATGTCAGGCAAATAGAGACAAAACAGAATTCGCGCCTTACAGTCTACAGTTTAGCGAGAAATTTCAAACCAAATGAAGCAAAACTAATGTAGGGACTGTAGACAGTCAAATTTGACATATTCATTGCTATTGTAGAATTGGTGTCTATAACTATGCTTGTAAATAGTTCAAGACAGACACAAAAATTTGATTTTTTCCATACCTTTCTTTGACTTGCCGTCCACCAATTCTCCTTCTACGTATATGAGCCATATTCTTAGCTAGTAATGTAGGTTTCTCCTTAGGTGATGTTGTCATAAAGTTTAACGTCTAAGAAAAAAAATATCCAGAGCATATTACAGAAACATACACATCATAAAGTACAACGAAAAGAATTATGTTAAAACATATTTATACAATACAATTAATTTAGCACAAAAATTTCAAGTAAAAATATAATATAACATTCTACACAAGCTTGACTTTAAACCTGCTTGACTTTAAGTATTTTGTATTTTCGCAGTTCTGTGTGCTTTATACTTTTTATTATCCAAATTACCTCATCTTGATGTGAAAAGGAATCATGATCTACATATGAAAAAATGCGATTAGTAGGCACTTCTTTTTCCCTAAAAGAAAAAAGGTTAAAAACATTAACACAGAAATAGGTTACCGGTATTTATTTCATTATTGATTTTCAGTGCAATACAGGAATGACAGCAGCCAGGCAACAAAAGATACATTCAAAACAGCTAAGTTTTCCAAGCAGTCCACAAGGGCTGTTGAATATCTATCATTTTGTAGGTGGTAGCAAAATCACAAGACAATAAAACCTGATCAAGTGTAATAACCCATTATATAATTACCAGAAATAATTACAAGCGGTTGCCATGCAAGATACGCCCACATTTTGCAAGAGATGGACAAGCTAAAAATAAAGCTATTTTTCGCACAATCAGGGGACACAATCCATGAAGTTATGGTTATATCAAAAGGAATAGAAATCTCTGGGATATAAACATATATTTTAAGTTTCATCAAAATCAGATAAAAATTCTGACCTCTCGTTTTATGACTGCCAACTCTAGATAGTCCAAAGCAATTACGGACAACGGACCGAATGGGTTGACAACAATATCAATCTAGGCAGAACATGTTATCAATCTTCATAAACTTTTAAGATACAAAAAATTAATTTGTGTCAAGTTGACTTCAGTTGGTTACAGAGTAATTATTCTATGACTTAATAAATATTTTTTACTTACAATAATTTTTTAACATCATCATGATATTTTTTGTCCATCACATTATAGCAGTTCTCAGGATTTTGATATAATTCAATTTCTCTCTGGAAATAGATTTGAAAATTCAATTATGAAATTCTATAGAAAAGAGAAACATTAAGTGAAATTTGACTCATGTAACAATTCAAGGGACTTGGATGTTAGATGAATATGAAAGACACAACATGGAAGGTGTATAACTGTACATTCATAATATGTCCCTATTGACTTCAATCTTTGCCCTGCTCCATCTTTTCCCCAAATTTTCTTTGCCCTGCTCCAACTTTGCTCCAACAATATTTTTGTTGAGCTGAAAGCTTTTCACTATAGAGCAACAAATGGTAATGTCTTTGTTTCAGATTTTGTATGAGGTTGACTAAACTTGAAATAGCATACTAAAACATGCTACTATCCACCTTACATAACCACCCCCTTAACCCTCGCCTCTGAATCATGAATATTTACCAAAACATGCAAAATATGGTAATTCAAATCCTCATCTTCCATTCTAGACCAAAAAATGAACAAAAATGGTCATGAAAAGGAGGGGGGGGTCGAGGGAGAGAGGGATAATTGCTATAAATAGATGAACTGCAATTTGTGGGTAACGAGATGGTGAAATTTAATAGTGGTCTTCCTCCATAAAAAAATTCTAGACCTACATGTATATAGAGTCACCATAAAATTCATTGGACAAAACTAATAGTATATATCAATGAAAATACTGAAGAGAGAGACAGAGAGAGAAATGGAGTTAAACATCCACTATACACAAATTAGGTCATTTCGGGACTAACATATGGTTCAAATTTTATTTCATTAATTCGCTTGTGTGTAGGGGTCTTTAGCAGTGGGAGAGGATACAGGTGGACCCCGAGAAAACCCACAAGGTTGGACAGACGAACCTACTCCTTGTTATGTACAAGCGGGGAATCGAAACCACGCCACTTGACTCAATGAAAAACCTGATCCAACGCGCACCCAACCCCCCCATACTGAAGAGAAGCAAGATTTGTGAATACAATATAATAAAACCCATGTCAACGTTTATTGTAAGTAACATATATTTTGATTTGATACAAAATTGTCTTTGGATGTGATGACAAGCAGCTGAGTTTGTTATGAAACAGTCATATTCAGGTATGAGGTACTATTGAACTGGGTGGACTCATTGATGTATCTAAGCTATTGATTTAAATTATATACATAATTTAAATATTTAACACATTATTCATTTCACCTGTCCGAATATTTTCTGCTGCCACAAAAATATTTGTTCTTCTTCATCTGGTTGTAGCTGATCTTCTTTAATATCCTGTAATTCCACATTACCTTCACTTTCAGCCTGAGCTTGTGGTACAATACTTACTGATGTGACACGTTTTAATCTTACTCTGAAAACAAACAATTTATATAATAAGCTTATGTCTTGAAATCATATGAGGGACAATCAGGGTATATTTCCAAAGACAGACTGTTTCCTCTCATGAACCATTCATTTTAAATATGTTACATTCAACACCTAGAAATTTGATATTATTTGGTTGTTCCATTTATACCTTTTCTTCAGTCTACCATTAAGCCATGATGGCTTGTTGATCACCTTAATTACAGAGTATATCTAGTACTAATGGTTTTTGCATTTCTAAACTGAAAACATGTCTTATTAAAGTTACAATTTCATATTTTCTAAGGAAGTCAAAACATAATTATTTCTATGTCTTTTGCTCAATAGGTTGTCAAATCACTATTATATGATCATAGGTTATCTTTCTTACACTTAAAAATCTTCACGCCGGAAATAATAACACAATTACCTCCCTTGTTTTCCTATTCTCCACCATGGAATAGCTATCTTCAAAAGTTTGAATTTGAAGTTGAAAATGATATTTTTGCCAATTTCTCAACTGGCAATAGTGAATTATAGGATTAATAGGATTATTTTTTAACAAGGTAGGACTGTTTATAGATACCATCTATTTTAGGGCTTTATTTTAATGCATTTTAAAAATATAACTTAAAAATATGAAATTGTAACTTTAAAATAAATTTCTCAAAGTGTTTGGTCTAATTTGTGAAGAATTGGGTTAAACTTTAATTCTTCATCATTTTTCCAGAATTGGTTGAGGCATAATTTGAATTGATTAAGGGTTTCAGCATAGACAACATAGAATGGTAATGAGTTCCAGTCATTTCTCTTCCTCCGTATTCTAAGCAGGGTAAACCGAGATTTAACAGGCATTGTTGGTAGCTGAGGTTTTCTAATCCCTTTATTAGCTTGGTCGCTCTGCGTTGGACATTTTCAACAGTGAATTTTGGCGTTGGACGTTTTCAACAGTGAATTTTGGCGTAACCAGAAAAATGATTGCGGGTTTATGCTCTGCGCAACCATTTTCTTTGGTTACGCCAGATGACCATTGCATAACCAACTGGTTACATAAAATGGTTGTGCCATTTTCATGTTTTATCCAGATTAATATGGTGCTATTATTCATTACCAGTTGCAGTCATTGTATTTTTAAAGAAATAACTTAGCTAATTTACATTCTTTTATATTTAATATTATATTTTGAGGTTAAGTGTTTATGACTTTAATCCTGCAGTGTCCCCATTTAACCAATAGAAAAGGTTGTTCCACTCACTAAATCCCTACATTTTAAGTAACTTAGTAAGCTAGCTGATTATTACTTGTAATTGATCAGAAAGTAGATACAGCCTCACTCATAGGTACCGACTGATTGACAAATAATATTTATTAACCTATAAACAAAGTCTCAAAAGGAAACAGAACAGTCTGATGTGATGAAATAATATTAAAATAGACAGGACAGTAAAATCGTTTACATTATCGCTCGAGCGATGCCTTGTGTCGGTCGGGGTCAAAGTTGACGACATACATACATACGGGTCATTGACATTGGCACCACCAGTAACATGTGTAGTAAATTCTTTGGAAATATAGCTGACATGTTAAATAGTCAAACTCTTTTTATATTTGAAAATCCAAAGGTATGCTTTCAAATATTTATGGTATAACTAATCATTTAAAGAATTAGGGATGGGGGGGGGGGAATTTTTAAATCAACCTGCTTGCAACTGGTCAATAATATGTGATGTCAAAATACATGATCTGTCAAAGTACCTGGCAAGATGGAGAAATGAAATGTCAAGAATGAATGAATGAATGGAGTTCGTGCTGACCGTTAATTCAAAACCTAATATAATACTAATAATTTAGACCTGTGTCACAAAGTCATCCTGTATAAAAATTTATCAAATGTGAATAAATTTATCGTAACCGATATTTCAATTTGCGCAACCAGGAAATCGGTCACATGTTTTTGAGCTGGTGCGACTGCTTGTAAGCGATTGATATCGTTCGCGTGAAATTTTGTGGCCTGTACATCCAAACTCACAAATCATATGCATCTCAACAAATATACTTGTAAAATACTCAGTCCTGAATAAACAAATGTTTTAGAAAAACATGGATATGATCATTTGGTGAATCTTTGTCTGTGTTATCATGTATTTATAAGACTATTATACAGTACACAGACGAATAAATACTTACATTATGTAATTACATGAAGTAGTAAAAACCTCATCAACAATTGTATTTTGAATATGTGTAAATGTATATGTGTCATAGCATCTCTTTTACCTGCAAGATTTCCTTGTTCCATTGTAAAATTGAAGACTATTTGTGAAGAGAAAAAAAATTATCGCCACAGTAAATAAAAAATCGCCACAAAGAACAGGTTATTGCCCAAAAAATCGCCAGATTTAAAATTTAATCGCCAAAGTTATGTTTCTATCACAAATGGTGAAAATGGTGATTGACAGCGTGGTGTATTGAACCTTTAGACATGGATGAAGCCATGGAATGAAGCCGTAGGCTGAAGGTTCGATACATCACGATTCTACTCACACCAAATCTGTTATATAAATAGCAGACCTGCAACAGGACCTAATTCCATGTCACTTAATTGAAATTAGGAATGGACTGACTGGAATAAAAATCGACATCAGGTAAAATAAAATGTAAAAAAGATTGTTTAATTATGTTCCGTATAGATCTATGTGAACCAAAGAAATATGGATATTAACAGTGTAAACATTTATTTTTCATGCGCATGGGTTCCACGTTGGCCGTATATGCGGGTCGGGACCGAGGGCTATGGAAAATGTCCATAACTAGATCTGACCCATCGGTCATTTTGCCTGCTGGAAAAATAGCCTTTGTTTTCAAAACCCAATTTTCAACCATGGCTACGATCGACCTCCAAAACTATAAAATAGTACGGCCATTGCAGAATAATGCACACGTATGGAAGCCACATAATCTCATGACTGGTGAGATATATACCATCGATAATTATATATTTATCTTTGTATTACAACTCATAATTATCCAGGTCAGTGTGTTTTCTATAGAGCATGTGGTAATTACGTGTCAGTCACTGGAATGGTTTTTCTAGGGCCAATTCAGTTATTTCGATTATTTAAGTAGCCAAAAGAGAAATATTTAATTAATAAATAATTATCATAAGCCTTACTAATATTTCATTTTTAAGTCAAATATATAATTTTTGTGTACTCCATGCCCATGCTGACAAAGTGGTATAGACACGTGAATTCACAATACCCTACCTTGAATAAAAAACATGAAATATGAATTTACTTTGCAAAGTGTTCGTGCGTTATCAAAAATGACCGGTAGTGAAAATTTTGAAGTGGAAGCCCTGGTCCGAAGGGTCAAGATTGAAGGGACCACATCGTAACAACTAAACAAGAACAAACGACGTGCACCTGCAGGTTTTGGGACAATTGCAATGATACATCAGACGTTCAAAGAGTCTTGTAACGGTGGTAACTTATAATTCCTATAAAATATGTTTAGAAAAATCAATTGAGTGGGTAATTTACCTAAACCTTAGGTTTTTGAGTGGATCATTCGTCCTATAATATGCTGTGCCAATGTCAGGTTCATACAAGTCCGCCATTGTAGTAAACAACCAAGGCTCGCACTCAATCAACATTTAAGTCTGCAGAAAATGTTTTTATAAACTGCTAAAGATAAATTATTCTTATGATTAAAATGAATTAAAACGACTTTATTGTAATAAGCAAATTTCGAAACACGTACTGGGTCATCTTTAAAGTATTTAAATCGAATATAGGTCATTGGAATTTGACCTACTTAATGACGTCATTAACATGGCGAATGAATTTTGATGAAAATGTCGGGAAGGCCACCAAATGAAAGGTAGGCAAACGGCATCATTAAGAGTTAATTTATATAAATTTCCCCGTATGCTCTACATCTACCGTTTTTTTCTTTCCGAATACAAAACAAACGGTCTGGTATATCCAAGAATGTGGTTAGAACCAGCTATAAAATCCAATGTTATTGTTCATATAATCATATCCGATCCTCACGGATGATATGATGCCGGATGCACATTCACTTCAGAAGTTCAATTCAGGCATTTTAATAATTTTATTAAATCTTTAATAATGCATATCTATATACTTTGCCACAAAAAAAAAACATTTTCATTAGGCTTGTCTTACGATTTATTACTGATCATATATATGATTCATGGATTATTAATGAAGTTTTCGTTCGAATGACGAGTAGGACGAAAAAACGAGGTCCCATGTTAAATGTTTACATCAGCGTGCACGTAAAAGATCTCTTGGCAGGTAGAATTCGATATTAGAGTAGGCCATAGTGCCACCACCCTTTCGAAATTTCCCTCATAGCACACTGCATGGTGTATGCCTGTCCTCATTAGCCCAGTCTGAGCAGAACAGTAGGACGTTAAACCCCATTTCATTTCATTTATTAATTAAGGAAGTTTTCATTGGCATTGGTCATTAGTGATGTGATAGCCTAGTACCGCCCAGTATGTGCATAAAAATTTCAAACCAGTTGTCTGCATGCTTGGCGTACGGTATGCAAACCAATCAGCTATCTCATATGTGTATTCTTCAACTATAAAACTATGTGTAGGCTATATCATTCATCATTAGGGTGAGTTTCAGTTAGCAACTCCCCAGGTACCGGTTAGGTAACCACAATTCAGTCCATCATTAGACTCCTTTAAATCCAGATTGAAAACATACTTATTTGAAAAATATTTGCAAGAATGAATGGGTGTTTGTTTTTTTTTTTTGTAGCGCTATGAGCACGACTATATGTGGAATTAGCACAATATAAATGGACTTATTATTATTATTATTATATCATAAGACACAGGCTCATTGTCGATAATCGTCTCATACATGTACATGTATACTACATTGTGCTGAATTCATTTTCTTTCATTTTTGGGCTAGATTATTTCAGCACATTTCTAACACTGAGAAAATAGTTATGATTTGGATTTGGGGAAAATAGTATATCTTCTTGTCGCTTTGCTGTGGGGAGTGCTCAATCAATCCACTTACCTAACCATATCGGAATTTGGTCACTTCATTCATAAAAGAAGAATTTGGTTATTTTATTTTTAATTGTATTCAAGTAGTTTAGACATTGTGTTCTACTGTCAGATATTGGAGATAAAGGCATTTCGTCCTTTTCATTTGTTTCATAAGGGACAATTTCAATGATTTCGTTTTTAATGATGTTCTAGTAGTTTGGACATTGCGTTTTCTGTTAGACACTGGAGATATAGACAACTTGTCCTTTCCACTTGAATCGTGAGGAAGAATTCAGTGATTTCGTTTTTAACTGTAGGTTAACATGCTGTACAGTATTGATGAATCGATTCACCACAGTGAGTTTATTCATTCTGTTGTTTGAGAAATAGATATGAAATGAAGGGAGCTTGATGCGCTACTGTTCTGCTCCAACTGGGCTAATCAAGACAGGCATACGCCATACAGTGTACTATGGGGGAAATGTTGCTTGGACAGCAGCACTACAGCCTACTCTTATATCAAATTCCAACTGCCAAGGGATGTTTTACGTATCAACTTCCTCGGCCAATGCAGGGAACAATCATGGGACCTCAAGATTTTAACTTGGCATTAACTAATTAGTAAGGAGATAGTTGCTTTTAAAGTTTGAAGCAACCAAATGTATTCTATTTACACCATTCCAGGCGATATGGTGGTGAGTCTGGTAGTAGGGGATCAGCTTGATCAAATCTTATTTGATATTCCATAATTAAAACTTGATTAAAGATACATTAGTTAAGAGTTTAATAAAGAGTTGGTCATTCTTGCTATAATAATTCAAAAATAGATGATAAAAAAAGAAAATATTGAAAATTTCATTCAAATTACTTCATTCTCAGCCAAGTTATCATGTTGGTAGTTTTGACAAGATGTGTGCATAGTGGTAACCAGGGCACTGGTATATTCGGGACTTAGCCTCGCTTTCCCATTTTTAAATTAAAATTTTAAATGGCAAACCTTTTAATCTAGTTAAAATCTCGAGTATCCGATGCCATTCAGGGTTGATTATGGTCTTGTTTTGTTAATAAATGTCTGATTAATAGTTTATATATATTTCAGGCCTAAAGAAAAACCTGCAATAGGCAGATTTAGCTCTTGCATAATGCATGTTTAAGTGTGATCCGTTTTCATGTGGAATTACATGCAATTGTTGTCTACCTTGTCTGACTGGATGTCTGTCTGTCCGTCCACAATTGATTTGTGGACACTCTAAAGTTCACATTGTCTATCCGATTTTGATGAAACTTGATAAGTTTATCTCCAAAAGATCTCAGTTCCTTTTGATATTGGCATGCATCGGACCGTAACTTCATGGATTATATATAGCCCTTGTTCTTATTTTAAAAGTACCTATTTTCATGTATTGGATGATATATGAAAGACAGTTGTATAAAAACACCCATACGTACATTTATATATAATTTAAAAAGAAATAAGTTTGATATTAAATTATTATGAAGACTCCCAGCTATAATAGTTAAAAAAAAAGTTAATGAAAACAGAATATGCTGAAACTTTCAGTCAAATTGCTTCACTCTGAACCGAGATATTAGCGATTCAATTTGAGACTAGCCTCGATAGTCATTACTAACATTGGTACAATAATAAACAGTCTCATTTATCCATTTTTACGTTAAATTGTCCATCACAATATGTATTTAAATCCACTAAATATATCGCAGGCTAACGATGGCACCGAGAATTGATTATGGTCTAGATTAGTTAATAATTTAGATAACAATAATATTAACATTTCAGGCCTAAAGAAAGATCTGCAATATGCAGATTTAGCTCTTTCATAATGCGTATAAATTTCGTAAATTGGGTTCATTTTTATGGCACATTGACATAGCACATGGAAAAGATTTAACCAATATGGCTTCTTTAAAACAATAACTGACATTTATGTACATGTACCAGTATCAAAATGTGTCAGTTTGAATATTGGCTCTGAAGAGTTTCTGGTGTAGCCTAGTGTACGGTACCGTAAACTATGTTTATGTAAACTAATTATCTATGTTGAACATATTAGTGTATAATATTTCTATACAACACCTCTGTAGTTGATGCATAAAGCAATTATGCCATCCCAGGGGGCATGATCTGCTATCCCTGATTTTGATCCGTTACTACTGTAACAGGACCAAGAACAAACTGTTGTTTTTCTGTGGAAATAAACCATATCATTTTTTGTGTGGTATTCAAATCCAACTAGATTTAACAATTTTGCTTATGTTCATAGATAATTTTTGTAAAGATTTTAGTCAAGCATTTCACTCAAGGAATAATAATATCCCAGCTCTGCTCCTGTCTCCCCAAAGCGAGCCCATTTGTAGTTTTGAATTTAATTGGTTACAGCGCACATGATTTAACACAGTGAATTGAATAGAGTAGTTTTGAAAAAAAAAGAAGCAAAATGACCGTTCTTTATATTGTGTGTTATGCCTTTGATCATCCATAAAATTAACAAAAAGTTGCAATCATCTCCATAAAACAGGGACTAAAGTTTCTCAACCTCCCCCAGCCGATATCTGTCAAAAATCCTTTAAGAGTTTTGTGAGGCTCAGACATTTTTGACAGTAGGCCAATTTCCTGATTGATCTTGAATGCATGTACACTGGGAGAGCTGACATTTTGTCTTTTACAAACAGATTCATGTTTTAATCCTTCAATATTGTTCAAACTTAGTAACCTTCTCATAAGCACTATATTTTTCTTCTATGTGTACTAAAAATAAAGTAACTACATCTATGCAAGATTTACATTTTTCGGAAAATATCAAATTTCCCACTGCCTAAACCATGCTAACATGTACTCAGATTGATTAACCTTTAAAAAGAAATTAAAATACCAATGCTAGATAATCTTCTGGCTTGGATTCCCATCGGATTTAAAACAGGCCCATAAATTTGGTTCACAGGAAATGATGAATATGGTGGCTGACTTGTTACTTAGATCAATGAAATTTTCAATTCATCATATCTTTGTAAATACTGAATAGAATTAAACCATTTTAATATTGATATTCCTGTTTCAGATTCAATTTTCACAACACTGTTGTTTGCAAAGGATTTTATAGCACTAAAATCACACATAGAATCTTTAAGTGACGTAGCAAACCTGATTCTGTGCAGTATATCCAGTTAACTTATATAATTTATATCCTGGCTTTAGCAACTCAACGCAGTTTTATCTAGAGGCGATTTAGTAATAGTAATAAAAACATAGAAAAGACAAATCTGTGCCAGACAAACTGTCAGAGGGATTGTGCCTGACAAAGCCTGAATTTGTGCCTGACATTGTTTGTGACAAGTGCCTTATTTCCTGTTGTCTGGCTTTATTTCAGTATGTATTCCAGTACATTTAAGGTTAGTTTTCATCTAATTGCAAGACACACACCTTTGACAAGGCAGGAAAATTTCCATTAGATGAGGGGAGCCACGGTGGCAAAGTGAGTAAGATGCTGGCTCGCTAGCCAGGAGGTCACGGATTCGCTTCCAGACGTCTGTGGATTGACAGACTACGATTTTTGATGATATGACATCACAATTCCAAGATGGCGACTATGACATCATGTTTGGTTCCTGGCTCATAAGTACTTGTTACGTACAGACAATGATACAATAGTAAAGGGTTAAATAGAGAATCTCCTACCAGTTTTTTTTTTATATCAAAAAAGATGAGTAGGAGATTTTATTTATCACCCAATCCCTTCTTACATGCACAAATAAATATAATTCTTTGCTGTAGATTTCACTTTTACTGAACATTACGGCGTAGTGATACATCATTTTTTGACAG